AAAAGCTACTATAGGGGCTGGAGAGATGACTCAGTGGTTAAGAACACTTGCTGTTCTTCCAGAGGACCTGGGTTCGATTCCTAGCACCCACATGGCATCTAACAACTGTCTGTGGCTCCAGTTCTAGGGGATCCAACACCCTATTCTGGCCTCTGCAGGGTGCTGTGTCCATGTGGTGCACTTACACACATGCAGGTAAAATACTCATACACCTAAAATAAAAATAATAAATAAAATATTTTTCTCTTTATAAATAAAATATTTTAAAAAGCTACAATAAATAATATTCATGGCATTATAAAAGTTTAGGAGCCATTATTTTAGTTTAAAACACTAAATTCTAATAATATACTTTGTATCTTTAATCCAATAACAAGTGCCCTGACAAGTTAGAATCCTAATATGCTTAATCGCTGCCTGGTTATTGTTTCTTTCATTCTGTTTCCTATTGTGCTCAAAGGACCATCAGAACAACACAGGGCTCCTCTTTAAACCAGGCCATGTGGAGCAGCAGAAAAAGCACTGAGGTCAAGCTCAGGTGATTACGTTTTATTTTTGGCTCAACCACTAATTAGTTGTTAACACTGATAATTAAATTAGTTTTTTCATTTGTAAAACAGTGGGTCTGAATTGCTTCTAAGGTCCTTTCTATCTCTGATTTGATGGCTGTGGACCTGATTAAAGGGTCTGGCCTGACCTTCTTAGGAATATTATCCTTGCCCGTACATGTCAGTGAAAGTGCTTTATACAATCCAGTTTCTTTTCTTTTCCATGACATAAGAAAAGAAAGCATAAAAATTTGCTCCTTTAAAATTAGATGTGAAAAACAGTACCATTGAAATCTACCTGTAGACTTCATATCCATGCTCAGATGCCAAGGAGCTCAGAAAGTAACCGACTGTGACTAGTAATAATCAGATACATAGCGATTAGAAACTCATGTGCAAACATCTTAATGTCAACTGCATTAAAAATGAATTTTTCTGTATGAAGAAAAAGAGAAAAGATCCATCACGGTTTGCAGTAATCACTGGGCAAAAGTACCTTCAGATTAACAAAAATTAAGGATACTGGGTACAGATCTTGTGTGCGTGTGTGTGTGTGTGTGCATGCACACGCGTGTTCATTTGTATATACATCTGTGGATGTGCATGTGGGGGGAGTTTGTGTACACGTTTGGAGGCCAAAAGTTGCTATCCAGTGTCTTCCTCAATCACTTCTATACCTTATTTTTAAATTTTTTTGATTAATTTGTCTTTATGTGCACAAGGGTTATGCCTGCATGCATGTAAGTGCACCTGTACCATACACTGCCTGTGGAGAACAGCAGAAGTGTCAGACCCCCTGGAACTGAAGTTTTGGACTGTTGTTAGCTGCCATGTGGGTGCTGGGAATCGAACCCATGTCTTCTGCAAGAACAGCCAGTGTTCTTAACCACTGAGCCATCTCTCAAGCCCTTCTATCTTATTTTCTGAGACACTGAAATTTTCTGAGATCTCTCACTGAACCCAAAGTTCAACATGGATGAGCAGCAAGCACTTTACCCACTGAACAATCTCCTCAGGCCCTGGAAATTCTTTTTAACAGATTAGAGTACATTCTATCTTTGCAAAGCAAAGGTAAATTCTTTTCAGTGATTTCAATAGAAACAAGGGTTTATACATGTGGGAAAAAATGAGAATGCAGAGCTAATGAATAACAATGTTGTAGGAAATCTGTTTTTGAAAATCCTTATTCAGAGATGGTGAGGGTACACTTCGGGGGGTGGGACAAGAAAGAGGGAGAGAGGGAGGAAAGAAGGGGGAAAGGAAGAAATCTTCATTCACATGGTGGTGTGTGTTGAGATCCTCTTTCTTATCTGTCAATAATTTTGGTCTGGCAAAAATGACCTAACACACTAAACCGTGAGTCCACCATGGACAACTTTAGCAAGCCAATGACTATAATAGTATTCATGACATGATTCATTCATACATGATTCATGTATGTTTTAAGTCTCTGCCCAGATGGATACATTCTTCCAGGAACTTATAACTAAAAATAAAACCAAAAGCAAATAGATCCATCTCTGACATTTTCAACTGGATAGAAAAGAAGTCAAAATTTGCCTTTTTACTAATGTGATCTTGGTCCATAGGTTGCAGTTGGGTTCTGTTTATCGTTCATGCCCCAATTCATGATTAAAAAGGCAATATTTTCATTATGCTTCTTGGATTTTTCTCCATATCAAAGGAGTACACACAATTTGTACAAAACAAAGCTAAATAGTTCTTCATTTTGTTTTGGTTTTAGAGCCAATGTCTCACAAGCCAGGCTGGCCTGGAGCTCCTTATATAGCCCAGCTGGCCTTAAACTTAAGATCCTCCTGATTCAGTCTCCGAAATGCTGGGGTTGTAGGCATGTGCCACCAAGTCTGCCTAAAAACTATTTAAAATTTTTTTATTTAATTTCATTTTTTATGTATATGAATGTTTTGCCTGCAAATATGTAAGTGCACCGGAGTCCTGAAGTGCCTGTGGATGCCAGAAAAGTATGTCAGAGCCCCTGGAACTGGAGTTAGACACTGGAGTTAGCCGCCATGAGCGTGCTTGGAACCTAACCTGGGTCCTCTGTAAGAGCTGCCAGTGCTGCTGAAGCCATCTCTTCAGCCCCCAAACTAAGTACTTTTAATATTCTCTCACTACATCTACACAGGAAACCTTTAGCTATAGATATGACTGGCAAGATCATATGAATGTTGCTCATTATGGATGGCGAGCATTTTGAGGGGGTGGGAACAGGTGCCAGTCAAACCAACTGGGTCCTGAAACAGATAATACAATGTGCAGTTATGGGGGAAACGAGGCTCCCGGCACACCTCAGAACCAACAGTTGAGAAAGTAATGACTGCAGCAACATCTTGAATTCAGTACAACAACAAAAAAATATGGATAAGCTGAAAATTAGCACCAAATGTCACATTCCTATTTTTGTTGTTTTTGCTTTGTTTTGTTTCCTGGCTGGCCTGGAAATCACTATCTAGTACAGCATGCTAGCCTCAAATTTGAGGTGATCCTCCTGCCTCAGTCTTCCAAATGCCAGGATTATTGGCATGTGCTACCAGCTGGCCACTTCATTTCTTTTACATATCCCCAAAGGGAAGGGAGTCGTTACCGAATGCCTACCAGGTGCCAAGGATATGCTCCCTTTTAAACACTGCACAGGCAATATACGTTTGCTAAGTAGATGAAAATAAAGTGAAATGCATAACTTCTCTCTTGCACCTTCTTTACGAAAAATTTTAAAATGTTGATCTGAATTAGAAAAGGGGCTATTTTCTTAAAGAGAGTGTAGCTTAGCACCATATAAAATGCGAGAAAGCAAAGCAAAAGACGGCTGTAAACGGCTTCTCCAGAATGTAGCGGATTTGCCTCATTCCTCCAAGTCTGACTTTTCTAGGTGAGTAGGCGAAAAAATAGCGAAAGAAAAAAGACAATTAACAACCCCCATCCCAGCTAAAGGAAAGGGTGTAAGTAAGCTCGGTTGATGTCAGTAGGCCCAAGTACCAACTGAGGAAAGAGCCCTGGGTATCTCTGAAAGTCACAGACATGCTATGAAGAGGAAATGTGGAGAGAACGAGCTTCAGCTTCTCTTGTCAGAGCCTAAATCTCTAAATCTAACTTCTGAAGGTGGATCCAAGAATGTTTTGTGCTAGTTTTAAAGTAACAAAAGACTCCATGTAAAAATGGAATAGGTTCATTTTTAGAAACAGAAGAACAGAAATAGACTGTGAGGGTGTGATAATTATTCTTATAGAACGTTAATATCTTGGGCACATTAAGCGAAGGAATGAAGTGTGTTTTAACACACCCACTGTTAGGGAACAATTCACATGCATCTGAACCAGGCTGCATTTCTTCAGGAACTACGAACTAGAGAGCTTCACGTGCTTTGAGAGTCATGTTTTTCCCAGACAGACTATACTGAAGTTCATGGAGTTTAAATAAACTTTCATCCAAAGCAAAGTTGATCAACATGATACTATTCCTATAAAGATTTTCCTGCTTGCAGGAAAAAAAAAAAAAAAAAACATTACAGTTATTTACAAAATACTATTAGAAGCACCACAAAAAAAGAAGCTGAGGTACAATGTCATGGTTGTATGTCAAAACTGGTTCTGGCAACTGCCTGCTTTCTCAGGTATAGTGCCACGGATGCTCCAGTAAGCCTATTCTGACTGACAGATTTTCTAGACCTTTGAGACTCAAATGAGGGAGTGAAATGGGAGAATAATAAGAAAATGATTACCATATTCCATGATTACAGAGGCTATACTATTAGGTAAGGTAACAGAGAGCATGGTCCCAGCTCAGCCTCTTATGCAGGCATGTCACCTGACCTCAGGGCCCGGGCATTGCCATCTTCAATATCACTGGGTGGTTTAGGGCAGCCACTGAGACTAACGCTAAAATTCTATTCTCTCTCCTCTTTGTGACTGCTTAAAATAAAGCTTCAGATCGTTCACTTAAAAAAAAAAATTAGAGTTATTTGAAAACTCTCCTACCAAATCAAAAGAATGTTAAAAGGGGCACAAAAGGCTTCATCTCCCCTGCTGGAGAGATTAAAATACTGAGGAATGACCAAAGTCTCATGCCAGTATAAAGACTTTGTCCATTAGAAAATTAGCACAGCTTAGATAAACTATAAAATAATTATCATTTGTGATTGTGGGAAAGAAGTACAAAGTTTAAAGAAGAGAAAGGAAACTAGGTTAGTTAAAGGAAGCTGGGATATTTCTTAATTCAATTCTAGGCTAAGAGGCAATTCAAATACTTTTGAAAATATGATATAGACAGAATCCTTAATATGACAAAACATGAACTGTGCATCTTAATGGAAAAAAAAGAGATATTTATGGGTGTCTTCTTTCAAAACCATGGAAGTGTTATACTGGCACAAAAGTGTTCTACTGGAAGAAAATGAACGCTGTTGCAACGAGTTGAAACTGAAACCACACAAACCCTTAGGGCCTTCATCCTTTGGAGGGTTAAGGTTCCGAACTGGATCCCGGATGCTGCAGTCTGTGCCTGCCCAGGTGAAATCACAGATGCACGTGGCTTCATTGCTGCACACCTGGGAAGGAGAGAGAAGAGTGGAGGGAATGGCTGGGTATCGTTGATAAGGACCTAACAGACGGGGCAAGGAGGAAGCTTTCAAAATCATTTAGACAGTTTCTAAAACTTTCCCATGGTTTTGAGGTCTAGATCATCAGTCAAATTGTTTAATATATTTTCTGTTATTTATAGAAAAATAAAGATTGAGAGGAAGAAAACTTTAAATTTGTATTATTTACAGTGATATTTAGGCACACAAATATCTGACAAGGTAGTTTTTTAGAAGTAGTTGTTTCTAGGAACATACATGAAAACATATATGTTTAATTCAGCAACAGGAGCTCAACAGACACAGTCAGAGAGTGGAGAGAGAGTGGGCTTAAGAGGCACTGCCCAGGGCTGGAGAGATGCCTCAGCAGTTAAGAACACTGGTTGTTCTTGCAGAAGACCCAGGTTTGAATCCCAGCACCCACATGGCAGCTAACAACTGTCCGTAATTCCAGTCCCAGGGGATCCGACAGCCTCTTCTGACCTCCATGGGCATTGCACGACACGGGTGCACTTACCTACATGCAGGTACATACATGCATACACATAAAATAAAAATAAATAAAAATTTTTAAAAAAGCACTACGGCACTGCCCAAAATAAAAGATACAGACACAATACCAAACACACTGCATGACCTCAGCGTGTCCAACACCAAGCTCACTTGGAGGCACTTTCCCTGACCAACAAGCACACCTCCATCTGCCCTCCCTCTATGAAGTCACTCTCTCCCATGCAGCAGGCTGAAGCCCTCAACGTCTCCTCTTTTTCTCTTCTTCTCTCTTTCCCTCCCTTTTTACCCACCTCTCCCTTCTTCCCTCTCTCTCTTTCTGCCCCCTATACAGCAACCTAGCATGGACTTGCAATTTACATGTAACAAATAACCATCTATAAAGTAGAAAGGTGCTGAAATCCTCTTATCCCTGTGAAATTTATTCAGACTTTTAAAAATGACAAAAATCAAACACCAAAGCTTTCAAATCTGAAGTGTTGTAACATACTGTGATGATTAATAACACAGAACTTTGCTGCTTTTTTCACAAGGTATAAAAATGAGAAGGGAAGAAGACTCTTTTATGGAAAGGGGCTGGAGCAATGGCTTAGCAGTTAAGAGCACTGGCTGCTCTTGCTGAGGACCTGGGTTCAGATCCCAGCACCCACACAGTGACTAACAACTGTCTGTTACTCCAGCTCCAGGGAATCCAATGCCCTTGGTTCACATACATAAGTGCAGACAAAACACACATACACATAAAAAATAAATTTAAATTAAAAAAATCTTTTTATGCATTGAGTCTCAAGTTTTTAAAACAGTAACTGAAATACTTGAAAAGTCTGCCCAGTGATTTTTATTTCACATTAGCAATTTTACTGAACACTCACTCTGTGCCAAGTACCACTACCAAGCACTTTACCAAAAGAATCTTATTCAGTCCTCGCACAAGCACCTGAAGGCTAAAAGAGATTAAATGACCTACTCAGAGTCACTGAGAATAGAGCCAGGGTTTTAATCCACAACTCTTTCTAGTCCCAAATCCATGTTTTTAATTTCTTAAGATAGGATGATTGATTTTAATTGCCAGCTCCTTTGGATTAATAAACTCGGGGCATTAGTGAGGCACAATGTTGGCTATGTCTTGGAGGGTATTCCAAAAAAGGATTAACTAAAAGGGAAAGACCCACCTTGAGTGTGGTTCACGCTCTCCCATGGACTGGACTGAATTTAAGAAGGAAAAAGAAGAAAGCCAGCTGAGCACCTATGACCCTCTTTTGCCGCTTCCTGGTCTACCAGGTTATAAGCTGGCAGCCTCCTGCTACTTCTCCCCACTGGATGGGCTATCTCCCTTGAACCCCAAGCCAAATAAACCTCTCCTCTCTTAAGTTGCTTATGTCAGGAGTTCTGTAGCAGCAGCAAACAAAGTAATGAAATCACTGGCTACATAGCCTCCCCATACCCACATGTGTCTTTCAATCAAACTGTAGATCATCATGAGAGAAAAAACTGTAGATCATCATGAGAGAAAAAACATTCTTGGGCCTTTACACTTTGTTCTCTGTCACCTGCCTGTATATATTGGATTACTTTTTGAAATTATTTTATGTGTATGAGTGTTATGCCTGCATGTATGTAAGCATACCCGTGTCATGCAGTACCTGAAGAAAACAGAAAAGAACATCAGATCCCCCTGAAACTGGAGTTATAGATGGTTATTAGCTACCATGCGGGTGCTGGGATTTGAACTCAGGCCTTCTGAAAGAACAGTCAGTGCTCTTAACTGCTGAGCCATCTCTCTAGGCCCCCACATTGGATTACTTTTACCTTCATTCTAACATCTCCCTTTTTGGTTACTGCTCTGTTTCTTCATATATCTTTTTTTTTCAATTTATGAAGTCTTTATAAAGTTTGAAATGCCTTAATTTTGCCAAGTATGAAATTTTTTACAATTTTTAGAGTATTGTAATTTTTATGTTGAGCTTAGGTTTGCCAGCAAGAGCACCTTTCTCAAACACTCTGGTCACAGAATTAAAGCTACACACAAGTATAAATAAAGATAGTGTTTCTTTCTTTGGCTGTCAATGGTCCAAGCATAACTGCACAATTTTATGAGTATGCATATCATCTATGATCCAACCTCCAGTCTAGTATGATATGACATTCAGTATTCAAACTGAGAAGTTGAAAGAAAATTACTGATAAGACTTATGTTGTTTTGAACTATTAAATCATACTCATATGTAGTCTACAGTTCCTTAGGAACAATATCAATTTTCTTCCAACTTTTAAGGTGTTGAGATGGCTAATTTTATGTGTCAATTTAACTGGTCTATGGGAGGCCCATTAAACATCATTTACGGATACATCTATGAAAGCATTTCCAGATGAGAGCAACAGACATCTGAATGAGTAAACAACACAGAGCTGATTGCCCTACTAACAGGGACTGAATGGGTCAAGAGACGAGGAAGGGGAATTTAACCCCTTCCTCCTACATTGTTCAAGCTGGGTCCCTTATTTCATTTTCTCTGATGGAATTTGTACCATCAGCTCTGCTGATTCAAGTCTGTGCACTCAGAATGAATCACACTACTGGCTTTCCTGGTTCTCCATTTTATAAACAGCAAATCACAGAATTTAACAGCCTCCCTAAATATGTAAGCCAATTGCTCATAACAAATCTTTCTAGGCAGTTAAAGGATAGATGATAGATTATTGATTAATAGATGATTATGATGAAGAAGATGATTGATAGATAGATAGATAGATAGATAGATGATAGATAGATAGATAGATAGATAGATAAAGAGATAGAGAGAGAGATCCATTGGTTCCATTTTCTGCAGAATCTTGACTAACACAGATGCAAAGTTATATCTAGAAAATGTGGTCACTACAAATATTAAGTAATGTGAAAAACAGCAAAAATAAAATCAAATTAACTCACAGTTTATTTTAGCAGATAAGAGGACTAAAAAATTAATCATAATCAGCACAAAGATGCTTGCCACAGCCACAAGAGAATGGCTGAGCTGAAAGTCTTATCACCATGAACTCAGGATCCCAGACAATGAAGGGCCAAGCTGGGACACTGATTCCTACTTACCCCATGGCCTGAACAGACTTTACCCTTGGAGTCAAGTGGGCAGCTGCTCATATTTAGGGCTTGAATCTGTAGGCACTTCCGATCTAAACACATCATGGATGGGCCACATGGCGTCCCATCTTCTACATAGCCCACATCTGTATCATCATCTAAAACTATGTGAGCACCACTGAAAGGAGAAAGACATTCACACAAACATTAGCACCACACTTAGAAAAATACCAATACAAAGAAGACTTTCCATTCACAAAACTGAAGAGACTGTCAGCTAACAAGAATTTCTCTTGGTCTTTTCTTCTGCCCCTTTAATAAAGGAGTAAGAGAAAAAAAAAAAACCCACTCCTGTGCTGGTCAGTGTTTGTCAACTTGATGCAAACCTCTTAAGAGTCACCTGGGAAGAGGGAACCTCAATTGAGGAATTTCCTCCATTGGACTGGCCTGTAGTCATTTCTGTGAGGTATTTTCTTAATTGCTACTTGATGTAGGAGGGCTATGAGCAGTGTGTCCCTGGGCTGGTGGGTCTGGGCTGAATAAGAAAGACAAATGAGCAAGCCAGGGGAAAGAAGCCAGTAAGTACCATTTCTCCATGGTCTCTGTTTCAGTTCCTGCCTCCAGGTTTTTGTCTTGACATCCTGCCTTGACTCCCTTCAATGATGTACTATAAGCTTCAAGCCAAATAAATCCTTTCCTCCCCAAGTTGCTGCTGGTTAGTGTTTTATCACAGCAACAGAAATCAAACTAGAACATTTCCATTATTATTTTATCACACACCATCAAGAAAAGTATTACTTTCAAGAAATAGAGTCTAACTCCTCATTTGTTTTCCACATACTAGGTAAAAGTTGTTTGTGAAAAAGATGCAAATATGTCATTAGTTATCCAAGTCTTGGTAGAAATAAAGTATTTTGAAAGCCATTATTACAGCAAAGGATTTAGTTGGTCACAATTGAAAAAGTAAACCAGTTCCTCGTTATTGATATTTACTTCTAAAACTGAAAAGTTAAGGACAGTTTGAATTTGAATGATAATCAACAACTTAATTACTAAGAGTATCTTAGTATTTTACAAATGTGGTAGTTTGTAATATAACAATATAATTTAACAAGGCTATTTTTTTTTTTTTTTGGTCTTTCTGAAACAGGGTCTCTCTGTAGTCCCAGCTGTCCTGGAACTCACTATGTAGACCAGGGTGGCCTTGAACTCACAGAGATCCGCCTGCCTCTGCCTCCCGAGTGCTGGGATTAAAGGCTATTTTTAAAAGTGTGAGAATGTGTACATTGAAAAAAAAGCTTGTGTGCATCAAAGTAAATAGTTATTATACTACAAATGTATTCCAGAGAGAATTTTATTGCCTAAAGTCCTGTTAGAGATGCCTTCAGATCCATTTTAAAAAGACAGAAATACAGCAGTCATTTACCAAGACAACATTATCCAATTTCCTAAAATTATTCTTAGATTATTTCAGTTGTATTCATTCCCATACGATGAAGGTTTGGTATTCTGGAGATACTAAAAATAAAGTGCCCATGCTGAAAGCAGTCTCTGGGAGGATCCCAAAAGTACCTTGGCTAACAGCAGCACCTCTGAAACGAGAGTGCGACTTTAGGACCATAACTGCTCTGAAGACAATAGTTATTTGTAATATAATATAGTTCCCCAGCTAAAAGCCTAAAAACCTGTGTGCTTTGTATTCACAGACAACTGGATGTGGATTGTTAGCTTACCTTAGCATATATCTTAGTAAATACTGTCTATACTTGATTGGGTATTTGTTAGGCCACAGTTTAAACCAGACCTATACAGCATAAAATATTCCTTGATCTGAAATTTTTAAATAAATTAATTAATAAAACACAGTATTCAAACAGTGACATAGCCTAAAGTGCAAAATATTAACCAGGGGCTAAAATGACTGTAAGTTGAGCATCCTTTAATCAAAAAAAACCAAACCTCTGAAATGCTCCAAAATCTGAAATCCTATGAGTAGTTATGAGGAGAAAATTCCATTTAAAAGGAAGTCACAGTCAAAACACTCGCACACACTAAATATTACTTCTCAACAGAACTCACAGATGGTCAAAACACAGAGAACAAATGTCAGTGGAATGCTCAGCCACAACTGGGACATCTGTATCACCACAAGGCTCAGGACCACAGAGGAAGAAGAGGCAGAAGGATTGGAAGAGCCAGAGGTTGGGGAGGACAAGAACGAAGCAGTGTCTCTGGTCATGACAAAACTGAACCACAAACTTACAGCAGTTGTGGCTGTCTGCAAAAAACTTGCATAAGATCAAGCCATACAACATTCTAGCATGGAGGGGGTTAGGTGCACAGGAGCCTCCACTCCTAACTGAGGAGCTGTGGACAGTTAATGACTTGTTGGGGAGGGAGAGTCGGTTTTCTTTAAGGGTGTGGCCTCTGGTAGGTCAAATGTGCTCCACTGGGTGGCTTCACACCCAGGAGCACATAGACAGCATAAACTGTACTTGATGGGTTATTAATAAAAGCAGGATACCAAGTTATGGGTGGGGAGGTCTGGGAGTGGTAAGGGGATGAGTGGATGTGGATATGATCAAAATACATCATACGAAGTTCTCAAAATTTAATTTAAATATCTAATAGAATAAAATAAATAAAAATAAAATTACCTCTCAGAAGAAGAACTCTAAATGGTTAATAAACATAGGAAAAATGTGCAGTATGATTCAGGGAAATACAAATCAAAACTACAATAAGAGATCATTTCAACTCACTTAGAATAGCTATTATTTAAAAAATTACAAATTATGGCTAGAATGTAGAGAAAAATGAACCTTAATACACTGCTGGTTGGAGTGTAAATTATTATAGTCATGAAGGAGAACAGTATGGAGGTTTCTTAAAAAACTGAATAGAATTGCCATGTGATCCAACCAACCCACTTTCGGGCACATACCCAAAGGAAATGGTTACCTGCATACCCATGTTTACTCCACAACAGGCACAATATGGAATCAGTCCAGGTGCCTATCAGCACATGAAAGGATATGGGAAATATGACAGATACATAAGAAGAATGAAGTCCTGTCATTGGCAGTGGAATGATGGAACTAGGGAACATTGTTATGGGAAATAAGCTACACACAGAAAGGCAAGCATACACAAACCCTCACACGTGTAAGCTAAAGCAAGTTGGTCTAAAAGTAGAATAGTAATGAGTAGGGATTTGAGATTGTGCAGTGGGGGTGTGTGGAGAAAGGATGGTTGGATCAATGCACACTGTATGCTTACACAGAGACCTTACAACAAGTTCCATTAATATATGTAGTTAATATGTTAATGAAAATAAATAACTGCAGAGATTTCTTAAAAATTACTTTCATCCTATGTGTGTAAGGTATAAATGAAACATAAATGAACTTCATGTTTGGTCTTGGGTCCTATCCCCATGACATGTCATTATGAAACATAAACGAACTTCATGCTTGGCCTTGGGTCCTACTCCCATAATATGTCATTATGAAACATAAATGAATTTCATACTTAGTCTTGGGTCCCTCTTCCATAATATATCATTATGTATAAGCAAACATTCCAATATCTGAAAAAAATCTGAAATTCAGAACACTTCTGGTCTCAAGCTTTTTGGATAAGAGATACTCAACTTGTACTGGAACTCTACTCTTAAGATTATGATTTTGGAAAAGGTCTCATTACTGATAATTATAATAATTTTCAGCAATTGTAATCTGCAAGTCAATGCACTGCTTTTATAAAGTGACTCTGAACCTAGAAAGTGATGGTGAAACTGAAGTCATTCTTTCTTGGAAAAACTGAAAAAGAAATCTTTGCTCCTTTAAATTCTGCTTTCGTGAAATCTGTAATTGTCATACTTCATGAAGTCTTCCAACATGGCATTTTACCTGCAGTCGATCACTCGGCCTTGATGGTAGAAGGAAGTTGGGATGATCTCTCCTTGAAGCTGACCAATACGTGGAGCTCGAGTAAGATTGGTACAAAGTAAAAATCCACAGAACACATCACTGCATAGGTTTAAAAGGGTTGAAGAAAACAGGAGTCAAAGCACAGAAAACCAAAACTTTCAGTTCACACATTCATTTTTACTTTATATGGGTCTGGGGATCAAACCCAGAACCTTGCAGATAGTAACTAGGCAAGCAATCTACTACTGAGTTCTATCTTCAGCCCTCAAAGTTTTATATATATATATATAAAATAAAAGCATTCAGATGCTGTTGCTCTCTTCACCTAGAGGATCACAGTTTGGGTCATGACAGCGAAGTGTGCATCCCTGGAAGAAAGGCCATGAATACTCTCAGCCAGTCATGACGCTCCTCTTCCCTACATGCTGTGCATCTATCTTCTCTATCTAGAACTAAAACGCTCTAGAAAAGGAAGGAAAAGCCAGCTTGGGGGTTGCTGGGAGGATCTCGCTTACAGATAGCAGAGAGGAGACCTACCCCTACCTCCTGCCTTTCAGTGTGCATTTTTTCATCCACCTTGCAATCACAATTTCACAAGTATAAAGACTAAAACTCAACAAGATAAAGATTTCACAGCAGAAGGGAAGAAATCATCTGGATCCTTGATGGTATTATCATATGACTCACCCACCGTGAGGACACCTCTACTTCGAGCCTAGCTGTTAAGCAAACAATGACTCTTAAAAAATAGCAAAGAATTGAAATGGCACATCACTAAAAAGAAAATCTGAATCCAATAGATGCATGCAAATGTGCTAAATTTCATTTGTACCCAGAAAAATGCAAATTGAAAGCATGATGATACAGCAGCTCACATCCACCAGAACAGATAAACATTAAAAATCTGATAAGGCCAAGGGTTGGTGAAAATAGCATATATCACAGGAGGGCTTACTATAGCACAGCCATTTTTAGAAAAAGATTTGACGTCATCTGCTGACAATGAACATGCTCCCTGTGACTTGGAAATTTTTCTGCTAAGTTACAGGCTTTAAAGAAACATGCACAATAGTGCACTAGGTCTCCTGTACCAGAATGGTCACAAAAGCATAGCTCCTAAAAGCCAACACAGAGAAATAGCTAAGCATCCATCAACAGAGAACTAAACCATGACATGTTCATATACAAATGTACAAACAGAAAAAAAAATGAAGCAGGATGAAAAAGACAATCCCAGTCTTACAATATGAAGTTCAGAAGAAAAATAAAATAACTCATAAAGTATTAGGCATGAAAAGTTAGACAGCAAAATGTTAAAAAAAAAAAAAAAGAAAGAAAAAAAGAAAACCAGAAACAAAAGTCAGGGTGGGTGTCAGGACCTCCAGAAAACAGAGACTGCCACAGGTGTATATACATATATATGTATGTATAGATAGATAGACAGATAGATAGATAGATAGATAGATTACATTTCAAATTTTTAAAGCTTTAAATAGCACCAATTAATTTTCTTTAACTCACTAGATGTTGGATAGCCTACTGCCAAATATTACAACGTTATCTTTTACAAGGAACTAACCCAATGCCTCCCAAACTTTTTACACTCACAGAGCAGATAGATGGCCAGCTTTGTTTGGGACAGCCATGGTGTTGATGACTAAAGCTAATCAAATTCAGTGGGACTTAATTCTGTGGATTCTGACTACTTTCTTGCTTGCACCTCAAGAATTGGGGCTCTGCATCTTGGATCATGTGTACCTCACTCATGAGACCAGAAATTCTGTTCTCTGTCCTTTTGGTTTGATATTAAAGAAAAATATTCATCTTCTTCTAAGGCCTCCTCCACCAGCAGAGACCAAGTGAACTTAGAAAGTTCATAAAGTGTAACATAGACATTATTAGCTAGAGAAATAAAACTACCCTGCTTCAACTGGGACATACTGCCACAAAAGGAAAACAAAGGAACTTTGACTTATAATGTGATGGCCACATAGATCTGAGTCACTGAATTAACATGAATGATAAACCATTGACCACAGTTCCAACTTTCTTTATTCAAACAAGAAATGGCCAATGAGCTTCAGTTTGTCCTTTCCCAAGTAAAGATGGCGTCAATATGTACTGACTATGCCTTTCAGAAGAGCACAAATATTAAATGACTAATTAAACCAAAAGGTGTTTACACTTGTGAAATGAATAGTAAATGTTATCAGAGAAAACACAATTTAACAAAAAATTTATTATATTTTTATTTTATGTATATGAGTGTATTGCCTGCAGTGTATGTAGGTGGACTCATGCCCATAGAGGTCAGACAAAGGTGTCAGATGCTCTGGAACTGGAGTTACGGATGGCTGTTAGCCGTCAATTGGGTGCTGGGAACTAAATCCAGTCCTCTGTATGAATAGCCAGTGCTCTTAACAGATGAGCTATCTTCCCAGCCCCCAAACAGACATGATAGAATGCATGAAATTCAGTAGGGGGGGTATGGGGTGTAGGGATAGGGACAGGGGGGCTAAATTTGATTAAGATCTATTACATGAAATGTACAGAAACTCAATAAAAATATACATAAAAAAGAACATAGAAATTGATTATTATTTCACTTTGACTCTATAAAAATTGCCCTTTTTTTTTAGATTTTTATTTACGTGTATGAATGTTTTGTCTGCATGTATATAAATAAGTATGCCATGTTGTATGTAGTGCCTACAAAGACCAGAAGAGGGCATCAGATTCCCTGGAACTGGAGTTACAGACAGTTGTGAGTCACCATATGTGTGCTGAAAACCAAACTCGAGTTCTCTGGAAGAGTAGAAAGTGTTCTTAACTGCTGAGCTATCTCTTCGGCCCTTATAAAAATTGTCTTTTAAACTGACACAGCATATTCACAGGTTATAGGTTCTAGTAAAATCCTAGTATTAATTGCAATACTGTTTTTTGTTTGCTTGTTTTTGTTTTTGTTTTTTTGAGACAGGGTCTCCTTCTAGCCCCAATTGGCCCAGAACTTGCTATGTACACCAGACTAGTCTCAGTTTCCCAAGTGCTGGAATTAAAGGTATATGCCACCATACCTGACAAATTTGCAGTTCTTTGGCAAAATAACTCTTCAAAACAAGAATCAAGTAAAATACGTTATGCAATCAATTTTCTGAGTTGTATAGAAATGGTACAGTTTGGTAGCAGAGTTGTTTAATCCAATATCACCTTTACTATCCCAATTTACTTTTAAACACAAGTAGTTTTTGAATATTTGAAATTAAAATGAGCATTTATTTTGTGCTTGTCTTTTCTCATCATTTTTAACAGAACATATTCTATTAATTCTTTGATAGGTTCATACATGTAAACAATGCACCTTGGTCATGTCCACCCTATTCTGTGCTCATTTTGGGTTTGCATCCACCTCCAAGTACCGTCATTGATCCAAGCATGACTACTCACTGTTTGCTGCACTGGATCCACCGGTCTCCATCCTTCCCACAATTCCCCTTCTCGGTGCCTTCTGTATTCAGCTTTTCATAACAGAACTTGTCAGAACCTGCAGCCTCTTAGATAGGCAAGAGAAGAAAACTAATTTTAGTTGTCTGTGCAACCCATGACCCACGGAGTGCCACCAAATGTCTAACAACTGCTTCTCAGAAATAGAAGGAAAAAATCCTGATCTGAGGCATTTGCCAATTTCTATAGTGGAAACTGCACACAAGAACTGATTTCAAGTTATTGATACAGTATGCACTGGCTTATCAATTTCCTGAAAACTCAGCAAAAGGCTGTAGAACAGCGCTGTCTAAAATGTGAGAACTTTCTAGCCACTCTTGGTGGGTTTGAAGGTGACTCATGAGAAGGATCACCAGCAGCAATAAGTAAAGCAACACAACAAACTAAGGCACGTTCTTAATCTCGTTTATGTTAATATTCAAGGCTTAATTCTAGTCCTATCTCGATGAGGTTTTCTTGTTTGTTTTTCTTTTGTTTTGTTTTTTCCCCTTTTTGAGACAGGGTCCCACTCTTTAGATAGGCTGAGTAGACTGACCTACTTACTATGTATACAGTCCACGCTGGCCTTCAACTACTAGTAATCCTCCTGCCTCAGCTTCTCAAATGCTAAGATTACAGGCATGAACCACCATGACCGGCTCCACTGAGATTTTATATTAGCACTTGAGTTTTGATATTTAAAGAATTTTTTTGCTTTTAGAGTATTTTTTTCAATTCTTTGAGAATTTCATACAATATATATATTTTTTTGGTATGACTCTTTCTGTCATTAGTTTAATGCAATTAACCAATTAATTGCAAACAGCTAATTAACATAAGTATTTCTTTGTTATAGACAATACATATTAGCACATATTTTACTCTTTCAAAAATGACTCATGTACCTGCAGATAGTCTTATTATAATTTATTCATACTGTTTTTTTCATAAAAGGGAATTATTTTATTTCTTTATGTTGGCATGCCATTTGTTTTTTGTTTTTGTTTTTGTTTTTTTAACTTTTTTTTTAATTAGAAGAAGCATTTCATTACAAGAGCAAATATATTTTGATTATATGCAGATCGCCCTCCCTCTCCAACACCCAACTATGCTCCCCCGACTTCATGCCCTCTATTACTTTTTATTGAATTTACTTTTTTTGTGAATTTCATACATTTTTATTGTATTTAGATCCCCTCACCTAGCTACCCCCTGCCCAATTTCATGTATAAATACACATTTCATATATGATATGTATTTCATATATAATATATATTTCATAGGGTATATAATTATGTATATGTGTGTGCATGTGTGCCTATAGTTAAATTTGTATCCCCAAATGTCCTTTGCTGTGAATCCACTGGAGCCTGGTTGGCCCATCAAGAGTCACACCCTTAAAAGACACTGGCTCTCCCCTTCCCAGCAGCTATAGGTTTCCAGTAGTTCCTCAGCATAGATGTAGGGAAGTGGGAACCACAGCACTACCTGATACTTAAAGTTTTAAGAAAAAGTTAAGACTTTATTTTTACCTCTATCAAAACTAAAGCACTGACTGTAGATCTTTCAAGTGAATGACATTTGTTAAATACCAAAATTGCTCCTGTGATTTTTTTTCTTTTATGGTTTTCTTTATGTGTTTTGAGAAGACTCGGCTTCAACCAGGAGGAAGACTCATTTCTCAACCTGCCTATGTTGACCTCATGAACACAAGCTCAATGGTGATTCACTGTAAATGCTAGCCAGAGGATGTATATAACAACATTTACAGACTGTCTTAAGATTTATGACCATGGTCCTATCTGCTCCTGAGGAAATTCTTGCATGTCATCATTTTAACATAGATACTGAGTGGCAGGATCTTTTACACAGAACAAGTCTGCTGATCTTCTGAGGCAAAAAGGCAAAGTACAAAGTAAGCGTGTGAATATGCAAATGACCAGATGATGGCTGTGACCAACGCACTTAAGCCCATCTGTGCAGGCAATTGCAGCATCTCTTATCTGAAAGTCACCATCATTGAAGAACACTGTTTAGTTTCCATGACAAGTCCTCCCTTGAGCAATTGTTTTCCATAGATGATGATGATGATGATGATGATGATGATGATGATTTTATACTTTTAAGGGTGCTGGTAATTGAACCCAAAGGCTCTCTTACACTCTACCACTGAGCTATATTTCCAGCCCCCTCTGTAGTTTTTGAAGACCTCTTTATTTTCATCTTTTCTCCAGATTTTACATCTTTCTTTTACATTACACCAAGCTGCATATCTCTGTCAGGAAGACTGGTAGAGAAGAACTGTTTGGAAAAGGAACTGTATGTGTGACCATAAGGTGGCAACACATGACCTACTTGTTCCCCATATGTACTGGCATTGGTTGTCCCTCGTCTTGCACTCGCCGTTGTAGCAGCGACCCTGAGAACAAGGGCACACATGTTGTGAGTCATAGGGCATCAGGACCGTTTTCACCAAGATTCTGGTTACAAGGTCTCTTTTTTATTGAGTTACATATGGTTCTCTTCATTCCACACTCAAGCATTTTCACACGACCAATAAGAACTACAGATATCTTAAGAGAATCAAGATACTGCAATACAAAAATTTATAATATAGCTCAGGATATACCTCACTGCACAGCTCTCTAAATGTAAAACAATTATTTGAAACTTAAAATGTTATGGAGAACAAAACTTGATACCATTCTGTGAGTGATATCCAAAATGACTTTTAGCATCTCTTGTATATGAATGGTTGAGGCTATAATACTGTTTTGAAAAAATTTCATAAAATAATGTATTTTGCGTAATACATAGGCTGAAATTATCTAAGGATGGTTACAACTCAGCAAACTGGATTCCTAGTTCATACCCATTATACTTTCTTCTCTTCCTTCAATCTGGACAATCTGTCACCAATTAAACATATTCGATATTTGGTATGAAATAAGTCTAAACCAGCACCTCACTGTGATTCATTTAAGTAAATTTTCTTCCAAAGTTACATTCATCAAAAAGAGGGGGGGCGGAAACAAACTAATCCTTTCTAAATTATTTAAAATCTTACTTATAGCCTAGCATACCTGATTTTGATTGCAGGCATATCCATCTTGCTTATGAAGATTTGGTGGGCACTGAAAAATATTATCTTTTTTAGTTGACATGCAGCATGCTAAGTACCCTCAGATAATATTGTGTTCAGTATATAAAAATGAGGAAAAAAGGTGAATATATAGTTAGGAACATTTAGAACAGCACATATAACTTCCTTTATAAATTATTTAGATTAATTCTATCATTGCTAAAATAAATAAAGTCTATGCAATTCATTCTTTTTGTGTTTCTCTGTTTATCAGGAGATGGACTAGAATGATAATTATATTCACTTGCCAAGGACATACAAGTCGAAAGAATTAAAATGGACAGCGAAGGAGATGAATCAGCTTGTTATGTAGGAGTGGACATGTTCAGAAGCTAATTTGCAAGACCTTACTGAGCTCCCTGAAAATGTCAAATCTGCATGTGACATAATGACAGTCGCCTACAGGCTACTTTGCAGAAACAGAAGACATATTCTTGCTTTTCAATGCAATCAGTGTAAGTGCTATACACCGTGACACCTCTGACCTCTCAAACCATAGGACTTGTTACTAGAATAATTTATGATGTGACAGGTTTTTTAAACCAATTCATTTATGATATCATTTTTAAGTGTACTTCATTTCCACTGAAATTATTCAGAATAAGTTGTTACACTTTTTATACATTTAAGAGAGTGAAGAAAAGATTATATCAAAGATTGCACCACAATGTTGAAAACAAATATTAAGGGGAAATATATATATTTACAACGAGTAAGAAACACAGCAAAATGCACTGTGGTGCTTCCGTGTTCTTCATTTTAGTGAATGATATTCAGCCTTTTAGAGGATCAGGCCCCAAACTAAAACCTCAGTCCTTCTTCATCAACATTCATTTGTCTTCTCTTGTCTCACACACTCCAGCCAGTATACCAACAAAGTGTCAAATCTGCTTCAAAATATCACCATCTAACCCTCTTCCTCAACCTCCATTGTTTAACCCCAGGTCCAGTCCGCTACCCTCTGAACTGGGATTGGAGCCTACAATCCAAGCCTCTCTGCTTCTGCCTGGTTTCCTGTCCTGCTTCCACAGAAATTCCTTAAAACATAAACATCAAACCATGTTGGTGCCCTGCTCAGAAACTTAGAGGCTGGAGAGATGGCTCAATGGTTAAGCGCACTGACTGCACTTACAGAGGACCCGGGTTCAATTCCCAGCACCCACATGGTGGCTATGAACTGTCCTTAACTCCAGTTCCAGAGGGATCTGAAGCCATCTTCTGACCTCTGCCGCCATTGCACTACACGGGTGCACTCCTGCTTCCTTGAGGGCAGTGACTGCACTTTGCAATAAAATGTGTCCACTCTGCATCTTCCTGAAGGCTGAGCAACATCCAGCTTCCTTCACCAGCAGCACCCTCCTTCCTAGTATTCCAGGGATGGCACTAAACCCTGGAATTCTGGGTCGACTGCACAAAAGCAGAGATCTCTACGTCCCCTTTCATCTATCTGAATTCCTTAAGAACACAATCATCTCATTAACCAACTATCATTAATTATTCACTTATTCTAAAACCAATGCAAGCACAATTAAGAGAAACGCAAAAAGAAAAAGTTACGTCTAGAATAAGCACACCAGAGTCTAAGTTAATTATCATATTTCACTTTTGTGATGTTTCAAGAAGGAAAAATCTTGGAGAACTCTTTACTGATCAAAAAAAGTCCTTATTATAAACTGTCACAGCCACTTGTGAGATTTCTAATTAATCTGGTTTTAGTTTAGGCAAGTAAAAGCCAGGTGCTAGCCAGGCATAGTGATGCACACCTGTACACCTGTAATGCCAGCACTCAGAAGGTTGTGGTAGGAGGATCATCAGTTTGATGCCAGCCTGGCCAACTTAGTGAGACTCTTTCTCAAAAAAAAAAAAAAAAGTAAGGCCAATTGCTTATCACTGAAACATTCAACATTCAACAGGGAAATTTGGGTCTTCTTTTTTTTAATTTTTATTTATTATTTTTATTTTATGTGTATGTGTGTATTGCCTGCATGTAGGTAAGTGCACCCGTGTTGTACAATGCCTGCGGAAGTCAGAAGAGGCTGTCAGATCCCATGGGACTGGAGTTACAGATAGTTATTAGCTGCCATGTGGGTGCTGGGATTTGAACCCGGGTCTTCTGCAAGAACAGCCAGTGTTCTTAACCTCTGAGCCATCTCTCCAGCCCCAATTTGGGTCTTCTTACATTCACTAAGGACATTCAGAACAGGAAAACCACAAATCTGAGTACTTTCTGCTCTGAGTCAACCTCTACATTCTGTCTCTAAATTCTTCAGCATCTCTTGGTTTCGTGCTGTGCTGGAATGTTTCAAAGGTGCTTATTTTATATTGTGGTATACCTTCTGCTTAGAAGCTATAATCATTTTCCACAGCTTTCCTATGTTACCCAGTATTCTTTGCCAAGGATTTCTCTCAGCTGCACAAGTATTGATTATTCTGCAATAAACTGTGAATTGAAAAGGTAATTCAGAGACCACAGTAAATGTTAACATAAAAATTAATTTAAAACATGAAGTAAAATGATAAAGACATAATATTACCACATATACACTGAATCTTGGGGATACAGACAGAGATTCTGTTTTCTTAAAAATTGTTGGTATCAGGGCTGAAAGGATGGCTCACTGGTTAAAAGCACTGGCTGCTCTCGTAAAGGACCCAGATTTAGTTCCCAACACCGGCTTGGCAGCTAAAAGCCATCCCTAACTTCAGTTCTAGGGGATCCAACACCCTCTCCTGAACTCCATGGGCATTGTATGCACATGGTACACTTAGATACATGCAGGCAAAACACTCCTACACATAAAATAAAAATAAATAAATCAAAAAACAAAAGGATTATATCAGTTAATTCAAACTTTCATTGTCTCCTACAAAACAGAAGAAAAAATTTGATGGATTTTTACCTCATTCTACTTCAACTATCTACTTTAGGTTTATTCTGATCATATTTTTAAATTATTAATAAAATTCTATTCTAATATGCCACTGAAAGTTAATTTAACACTACAACTTTCACCAATGACATGAGGTAAAAAGAAAGGCAATTGCATTTCTTACACAATAAAATATTAGGTTGAGCAGAAACCCCCTATTTTATTTGACTTTTGTGTATTTGTGTGTATAGTATATGAGTGTGTTTGTATGTGTGTGTGTGTGTATGTGTGTCTGTGTATCTGTGCGTGTCTGTGTGTACATGGCCATGTATGCACAGTGCCCATGTGGAGCCAGAGGTTGATACTGGCTGTTTTCCTCTGCTGCTCTCCATTTTATATTTTGAGACAGGATCTCTGACTGAACCTGGAGCTCTCCAATTGTCTAGATCAGCTGGCCAGGGATCCCCCTGTGTCTGCCTCCACGAACTGTTAATACAGATACATGCCACCACACATGGCTTTTCATGTGGGAGCTGAGAATCTAAACTCAGGTCCTCAGGCTTACAGAGGAAGCACTGAACTATCTCCCTGGTCCCCAAACCTCCCATTTAAAAAGACTTATTTCCAGTAAATTCCATGGTAATTTAGAAACTAAATATTGAGATGAAAAACCATACTTCCCAAAAGACTGAACAGAGAGCACTAAGAATACACATTACCATTAAAAATAAGATGATACTACAAAACTAACAATAAATTCAGTCAAATGGTATATAGTGATGATTGTTAAACTTCTGAAAGATGAAACTCACAATTCTTTTACTGTCACTAAACTACAGAAAAATTGCAAAGGAGTCTACATAATTAAATATAAGGAACACATATGCCAGAAGATCCACATGCAAATAGCCTGAACACATTTCCTTGGGCCATATCATTACCTGACCACCAGTAGCAACACTAAGACCTTCTAAAGGTTACTGGAACCTTTCTCTCTTCTCGTGTTCCCTTCCAGCAAATGTAAATCAGCTCAACCCCAACCACTCTGCTCTCCCACCACTATGGTGACTGACTGATAAGCTTGGGAAGAATACTTGGGTTTTCTGAGCCAGAAAGTCTAACAGAGGCCGGAAGCAAGTATTCTCCACTGCTTCTCTGGCTATCCACTGTAGAAGGGCCCACCTCTGCAAGGAGGTTATATTGGAACCAACTGTGTCAGTAACCTGTTGCTCTAAGGAGATCTACTGGGAGACCCAGTTAGCTCCTGTATTAAATAAGTTATAGCCTTTCTGTTGACCATTTTCCATTTAAAAAGTTTTGACTTCAAACTGTCCTCTTTTATTTTGGGCCTCTTGGAAACCACAAAACCTTGCAATAGGTAACCTCATTCCTGTGAACTCATCCTACAGACATAACTCTGAATGAGAGATACTCTTCCAAACGCACTAAAATGTTTATTTCAATAAAACAATGAAAACGACTTAAATCTGAGTATCTTTCCCTGGATATAAATCAACTGATAAATTTACATGATGCACTCTCATGCAATCATAAAAAAAGATATTTATAAAAAGCTACATGCTAGCACAAGAAAATGAAAAGGAAGGTAAAATAAAACCCCAAATTCTTGCTGTGGCATACAAGTCCCTCCATGCCTGCATCCTGGAGTCCTTTTGGAATCTTTCCTACCATCCTCCAATTCTGTTTGCTTTCATTCTACTTCCCGAGGAAGCCAAGCTCCCCACCTGCTGGTTATTGAGTAGCCTCCTATCTCTACTTCAATGTATCTCCTCCAGGAAGACCCACCTGACTGTCCCACTGCTGTCCCCACTCCGTTCTCCTTTCCACAGCGACTTAGTCTATTCCACCTAATATAGTTCTTTCCCTCCGCCCCTCCATCCCTCTGTCCCTCCCGCCCTCCCTCCCTCCCTGCCTCCCCCACTCCATTTGCTTTTCTGTACATGACAGGACCCAAGTTCCACAAGAACCAGGACTTAACAGTCATGTTTCCTTCTGTGTCCTGGTGTTTGTAGCGCTGCTTGGCAAGTAACTCAACAGATGTTCATTTGAATGGCAAATAAGATGTAAATTAACATGTTTTAAGTAAAGAGCACAAAAATTATACAAAGAGGGAGGTCTAGAAGGCAATATTAATTACAATGTTACAATCATTTCAGTGGGTGGAAATCATGCCAAGGCACAGAGGCCGGAAAGCAACACTAGGTGTGGGGATAGAGGCGGTGACAGAGACTAAGAAGGGCGCCTGCTCGCCACAGCAGCTCTGCTTGTGCCTGGTGTCCTACATTAGTCCCCCACCTAAAATTCATTAAAAGACAGAAATTTGCTTCAAATGTTTGAAAATAGCATGTTAGTGCTCTGCTAATTCTGAAGGCACTGTTTAAGATACTCAGGGGGAAAAGTTAATTACTTGAGTATAAGTCATATAAACAGCAATATTGCTTTTTATTTTATGTGGATGAGTGTTTTGACTGCAATGTATGTAAGTGTACTACATGCATGCAATGTCCACAGAGGACAGAAGGGGGTGTTAGATTCCCCAGAACTGTAATTACAGACAGTTGTCAGCCACCATGTGGGTGCTGGGAACCAAACCCGGGTTCTCTGTAAGAGCAGCCAATGCTCTTAACAGCTGAGCCATGAGCCATCTCTCTAGCCCCAAGAGAACTATTTATGAAGGGAAATCTGGAAGAAGAAAAAGAAATACAGGTCCCAAAACACTATGCCAAACTCTGCTACAGTAAAAGTGTAGGAATAACAAGGAAAACTAAATAAATTTAGGAAAACTAAATAAATCAATCAAAACAGGTCCACACATGTAGTCCCTACTAAAAACCTTAAAATGTGTATTGCACAATATAGTACCTAAAGTGTGGCTTGCCATACCTGGCCAGAGTCTCCAGTACAATATTCAGTGATGTCACAGCCATTCACAGCATCCCGACATTCATACCCTCGTGGCTGAAACTGCAGATCAAAACCTGATATTAGGAGCCAGTATCAACTGCTATTCCAAACCGTTATCATTCTTAACTTCACCAACAATCCTTATGCCTTCTCATAATCATCACCAATCCTATTTGATGACTTAGTAAAATAGTTGAAGGATAGAAACAAGGCTCAGATGCCCTTTCTACATGGAAGATGCTAAAGATGGACATCAAGCAGGCATTAAATGCAGATTACAAAATCCACTGTCTCCAAGTATGGTGGTAGGAAAACAATGTAATGGAAATTAGATAAAGAAGAAACACTGGTTTGGGCCTAGCACATGGGAGCAAAATATTGTCAAATAAACATTTAAGATTTCTCTGAAGGGGCTGGAGAGATGGCTTAGTGGTTATAAGCTCTGGCTGCTCTTGCAGAGGAACCCAGTTCAATTCCCAGCACCCATGTGGCATCTAACAACCACTCATAACTCCAGTTCCAGGAGCTGTGACACCCTCTTCTGGCCTCCATGGGTATTGCACAATATGGTGCACTTACATAACATGCAGGCACTATACTCACACACATAAAATAAAATTAATAAATAAAATATTTTAAAAAGATTTCACTGAAAGACTGATACACACACACACATGCACGCACGCACGCACGTACATATATCCAACCGGCATAATTCAGCTTGAATATTAATCTTGCTTTGGCTAAATATACACAACGAAATCGCAATGAATTCCTACAATCACCTAATCACCTTCAGTGAAATCCTTGATTGCCAATGAAAAACATAGCATTTTGTTTATCTGGCAAAAGGGTGGATAAAATATAAAGGCCCATCAGCCACAAGCAATTTATCATTTGGTAGGAGGCATGAAGCAAGTACAAACTAAGTTAGACTCTTCTAGAATACCAAAATGTATAACCTTCCTTGGTATTTAAAAAGTAATAAAACCATGTAACTTTGTTGTTATTAGAAATATTATGGATCTGATACATGAGAAAAAGTGATATTAAAATGACTTTTTAAAAGGAACTAGAAGTCACTGTAGGTGGGAGGCTCTGTGTTCACATACACACAAACCACACACATTCACATATGAACTGACCCAAGCATGACCTCGCCTGGCTGTCCTCACTTTACAAAAGAGTCAAAAAAACAAGCCAAGTAAGAAAATATGAGCATTCGCTTTTACACCCTGGGTCTAAAGCAAATTGGGGTAAGTTTTGAAGAAAAGTTTTATAATTAAGTTACATTTTCTAAAGGACCGAAGGAATTGTTTCTCTTCTATTCACCGATTTGATCTGACTCATCTGTGTTAGTAGAGCAACGGTTTATTTTTGAAACAGGTGCCTTCTCTAAAGGAGACTCTGGAGGTTGGACAGTAGAGAGCAAATAACAGAGAAGGTAAACCGTACGACCCACAGAGGCTGAAGTGCTGAACACAGTACTGCCAATCTAATACGCACACGTTTGTGAGAAGTCATATAAAAGCTCAACAGACATACTGAGGTATTTGGCTAATCTGTGAATGAAGATAAAGTGGAAACTGCAAGGGAACTCACAAGACAGGAGGTGTTATTGCAGCAGGGGCCGTCGCTGCAGTGGGCCCCATTGGAGAGCGAGCACTTCTTACAGCACAACCCATAGCATTCCTAGAGAAAACACTCCATGTAAGGAACCTCAGCACTGGCCCATTCAGCATTCCCTCCACGTGCAACCTAGGCATCATTCAGATGAGGAGGCTTCCATCAACAATGGTACACTAACATTTGGGGATGGAATCAATCAGTTTAAATGATGATAGACTCTTTCTGCCACATCCTCAGCAGACTGATCTCCCACGGGTACAATTATTTGTTGGTAGACACCCCCACATCTGCTTAACTCTGCTACTTCTTAATATCCCACTTTGTTCTATAAAAGAAAAAAAAAATCACATAGAGCCTGAAAAAATATTCACAATTTGGTAAAAGCTGCCTGAGATGAAGAGGTCTGAATTAATTTTTAAGAGGTCAGGAATTTGATTAGAACAATCCATTAGGCTTTTCAGACAAGACCGTAAGGACATGACTAATTCTAATGTGTCTGAGCTAGGATGAAGCATTGATCAGAGAGAGCAGGAAAGAAAAAAAAGGCAGTGAGCGCATGATAAACGACGGCATAACTGCTCAGTAATGCTGTCCTTGTGAGCACCAAAGAGGAGCTGCAGAAAAGGTGGAGGCAGTCTCTTATACCTACCACATGGAAACCACAATCGCATTCTTCCCCAGCCTCTACATATCCATTGCCACATTCTGTGGGCTCGAACAGCTAAAAGAGATCAGAGAATGAAAAGGAAAACATTTTACTTTACAAAAGAAAACCAACACACCAATTTATTATTAATTTTTTTTATTTTTTGCGCATGTGCACACATGGATGTACATAGCCACAGAGGACAGGAAGGGCATCAGACCCCCCTAGAGCTGGAGTTACAAGGAGTTGTAAGCCACCTGATGTGGGTACTGGGAACCAAACTCTGGTCCTCTCTGAAAGCAACAGCGAGCTCTCTTTATCACTGAGTCATCTTTGAAGCCCCCTGACTTGTTATTATGGCATCTTATATATGGTGTCTGTAGGAAACACTGTTTGCTTATTAATAACACTTTTCCAAACGTGTTTAGGGTGCTATCTCTTGGGGATTTCCCTAGCGGTGGGCTTGAGAGACAACCTCTAACTTTAGTCAATTTTTATGGAGATAAGCTGTCAAAAGAAATAGATCACTTTCCATATTTGCTAATGGAGCTAAAATGCATTGCTAATAAGACTCCTAGATATCTAATTTGCTGACTTGACTCAAGGCAACTGAGAAGATGTAAAAATTGTCAAGAAGATAAATATGCTCAGTTATAGACATACATGAGCTATACGATCAAGGAAATGCAAATGAAGTTTGAAAACAGTGTTACTAGAAATTCAAATCCATCATTCCCATTGAGAAGAAATCTGCAATGTCTCACTTAAGGTTTCTAGTATGTACATAAAGATCCACCGCTGAGTTTCTCAAATTACTTGTGGATAGGAATTAATTCAGTAACGGGAATTTCAAAATGATAACTGTGTGCATATTCAATTTAATACTCAGTTTAGTTTTATGAAGGAAAAATAATATTAAATAATCATGTAAACACATGCACGAATACATAGAAATCTCTCAATCACTGCTACAGTCACAAAAAAAGTTAAATTTTTAGACTATTCCACCCTAGTGGTGCCACAAACTTGCTTCTGAATGAACAATCTCGTAGACCGATTGTTGAGGCAGTTGCTTACTTATGACAAAGGAGTCTGATTCCTATCGCCTGGGGCAGATAGCTTGGGGTGTGACCATCTGGGTAAAAACTAAACAGCATACCCTACAAATAGAGTCATGAGGAAGAGGGCATGAGCCTGACAACAGCGGTCATGCACAGGTGCATGGGCAACCGTCACCTTTCACTGAGTCTGCCCAGAGAGGACCTGGTGCAGCTTCCACTTCCAAGAAGGAAAGATTATTAAAAGGAGCAAGAAAAGCTTCCTGACTAGCTGGGTGGGAGTCAGAAGTCTGAATCTCTATGCTACTTTGATTACTGGGCAGGAGAAAATGGAAAAGGGACAGGGCTGCTAAAACATGGCCAACACTTGGTACCGGGCATCCTGTCCTTTTGTTCTTAGGCTCTTTCTCCTTGCTGAGATGGGTCACTATCTCAAACCAGATGGGAATTATGGCAATTGGGTAGATTTCTAAAGCACAGAAAATACACACATAAAGTGAAAATAAGAAATAACACATGGGGCTGGAGAGATGGCTCAGCAGTTAAGAACACTGGTTGTTCTTGCAGAAGACCCAGGTTTGAATCCCAGCACCCATGCGGCAGCTAACAACTGTCTGTAACTTCAGTCCTAGGAGATCCAACAGCCTCTTCTGACCTCCGTGAACATTGCACAACACAGGTGCACTTACCTACATGCAGGCAATACACGCATACCCATAAAATAAAAACAATAAAAAAAATTTAAAAAAAAAAAACAAAAAAGAAGTAACACATGCCTACATTCATTGTCTAACAGCACCTGGGGAAGAAAATAATTCTTTGACATATACATACAAACTGTTCCACTGGAATCCACAGGGTCTTCCTTCCTAACCATCGTAATTTATAGTTTGAAAGGAGAAATGATTCTCTATCTAACTTTTGAAATTGAATATGTATACATAATTATTTTTATGGAATTCCCAAGTTACTGGAATAATTTTCTTCCTGCTTGCAGGTAATCTGAGAAACACACTGTGCATATACTAGAAACCTTAGCTTTTCCAAACAAGCAAGTGTTTTTTTCCTCAAGCACTATGCTTATAATTAGCTGGCCCTGCAAGGCAGGTAAAACTAGCAGTGCACATTGCAATTCAAAACTACCAGCAGCTCAAATTAGTTCCCTGTACCTATTTCACCCATTTCAAATGCTTTGAGGCTTTCTGGTTTCTGGTACCTGGAGAGCAACGCCATGAAAGGCAAGCAACTTGTTTTAACAACACAAGGTCACTTTCAAAGTCTCAGTTCTTTTTCCGCAGCTTTACTGAGATTTTTACACAGATGTCAGGTAGCAAGCTGCCATTCCCTGACTTTGGCAGTACCATTTAATTACAGATATGGAATAAATCAGTCTATCAGTTATTTGCATTAGTCACCGATTTTTTTTTAGAAAGGTTAACAAGATATCATCCACTGCTCTCTCAATTTGCAGAGTTGACATTTTCTATACAAATGAACCCAGACTCCTAAAGTATATTTTAAAGGAAATGTGGAATTTTCCATGTTCATTTTTTTGATACCATCTGTCCAATTAGTACTGACACTCTCTTTTTGTCTATTGAGCAACTTTGTTTCCAAACACACTGCAAAAGCTTATGCAAAAGCTCTAGCCAGGGAGTTTGGGGATTCTGGTTTGCTGAATTTTCGACAAGTATGAAGACAGGTCATGTTCTATATCAAGGGGTCTGGGGCATGTCTTAACTCAAACAACTGAATGTTTCTATAGTAAGACTTACAAACATTTACACTACAAAGACTAAATGAAGATTTTCAGTTTGGGAGAATTTTACTGTCAAATGTGTTTTCTGAAAACATGTAAAACCACTTCTAGAAATGTAGTTTTTTTTTCATTTGTGGGTGAGGGATTGTGTCATTGTTTATACAAATTTTGATGAAATGCCAATGGGAACATGGACTTCCCCAAGGAAAAAAACTATGTAACAGAAATCCTTAGTGTATTGGTGGCAACCTGAAATACTTGAGTCTACTCTTTAGTTGGTTGACATTAGTAATGTTTCCTGCAAGGGATCAGGTCACTCCATAAGGTGAGAGAGGGGGAGTGGGAGGTGGGTAGATGAGGCAAGAGAGGATGGGAGGAAGAAGAGGAAATTAAGTCTCTAGGAAGAATGTCAAGAATAAATGAAGTTCTTAGAGAATGGATTCAAGTCATATTTTAAAAAATTCTAACTCCCTATCTCTTAGCAGCAAGGCAAAAACCCTAACATAGAAAGTTTGGAGACATTTAAAGAAATTTTGCATTCCAAGGGACTTGGTGGGATGGCAATGGATGCCCTAGAGTTGGTTTTCTTTGAAACATGACGCATCCATCTTCAGCATGCCAAGGCTTTTTGTAACAAAACATCTTTTGGTGCTGAGTATGATAGATCCACCTGTAATTCTTGCATTTGGGAGGCGAAGGCAGGTACATTATCTTGATTTCAAGAATGAGACCTTATCTTGGACTGGTTAAGATCACAGGCTGCTCTTGCAGAGGACCCAGGTTTGATTTCCAGTACCCACATGGTGGCTAACAACCGTCCTTAACTCTAGTTCCAGGGGAACCTAACACTGCCTTCTGACTCTGTGGGCACTGCATGACACGGGTGCACTTACACACATGCAGGCAATACACACATACACATAAAATAAAAATAATAAAAATTTTTTAAAAGAATGAGGCCCTGTCTCAAAAAAAAAAAACAAAACAGAAAAGGGGCTTCTGTTTTTGTTTTGCTTGTTTCTGTTTTGTTTTGTTTTAAAAGTGTCCCTATATAGTCAAGACTTCCACCTAACAATCTTCCTACCCTAGCCTCCTAAGAATGAGATTATAGTTATGAACTACCATGCCCTGCTTGTAACTATATAAGAATCTGTCTGACAAGAAACCTGTTTTCTGAGAGAAATGTATGATATTGGCACTTTTCCTCTATTAAGCGTTGGAGAAGTTATTTTACTTTCTAAGTTACTAACCTTTGTTGGTCTGTTGAAAAGACAGGCTCCACCCCCTCTCTGTAGAAAGTCTCTGTACTCCAAAATGCTACACTTTGAGAACTTTCGAGAATGGGATACCCTGAAGAAACAAAGAACCAATTATGTAAACAATTTAACAAAAGCAGTCATCAGAGAAGAAAATTAACACACCTGAATTAAAACAAAATGTTCACTCCGGGTATAGCTGTTCTATACAAATGTTGACAAGATACTTGGGTTCAAATTGCTAAGTTTGTAGGATGGAGTCTAAATGAAAGAAATACAAAAACGATCACAGAACTGAGTGCTTGGTTATAATCCTCAGCAGCCAAGCCTCCTGCAACCTGTCTTGAGATATGTGGTTTAAAAGATTTTCGATAAAACCTTAAATCAATGCTATATTTTAAAGTTTGGTTATTTTTATTTACTGTCTCGATAAAGGCAACCATTCTTTTGCTTCTGTGTTGAAGAAAGGGAGTTCATGAGCCTACTAGGCTTTGCTTTGGGAGGAGGAAGTTTAGAGGGTTCATTTATTAAAGACTATTATTCAGGCTTCGACAATCCAAATTTAGGTAAATGAGAAAGCCGTAAAGATTGTGCTGGACTACACACATATGTTATCAGCATATAGGTCCAGAGTAAAAACAGCATTAGGGAATGCTCCCATGAGCAATATCGCCTCATTGTTCATTTCAAATACAATTATTGAGCAATATTCATGACTTAGTAGGAATACAGAATGAACCTCTCTTGAATTAATCCATCAAATTAAGGCCTCTATGTCGGTACATGGGAGAATATACACACCATCAAGGTTAAGCTAAATCATACACATTGATTCCTCAGGAATGTTTGCAATAGAACCTGACTTGAAAGGCCACTAGGATATAATACAATAGTTTTATTATTTTGATATTTGAGGGTACTTGTGCAAGAAAAACCCACCTCTATTGATCATGATTTCTCACAAGTAGGATACAAAAAATATATACTTGAGAAAATATACATTAACTTCAAATACTTTATTATACCCTAGTCAATCCAAAAATTCATTTAGAAAATGAGAGTTTAAAAGACAGTAACACCACCATACAAAACCCATATTATAAACGGTGCTATTTCTATATAGCAATCGTTAAGCCCATGCATACCATAACTGACAAAACTGTGGCGCGCAGTAATGTGACCGGGGAAGGCCAGAGTTTCAAGCTTAGACTACATTTCCAAGAATATATTCTAAAATCACAGGGATTTTAAATGTGCAAACCTCCTTCTCCAAGGTCTGGTGGAAGAAATAAGGGGTCCTGTACATATTATGGGTGGCACCTTTAGCAACCAGGCTCAGGATAAGAATAGAACCAGAAACTGCCAATATGCAGGTGTCTGGCATGAACAAAGACAGTAAGAGACACAGCAATAAGGAAATCTCCCATCTACTAGGAGGGGGCTAAGCTTAGGAGGCCTTGATGCAGTGGCTTGCATGGCAGGAGTCTCTTTGAAACAACCTGATTCCAGGCCTCAGTTCACTGAAGCTATAAGGGCACTGCTCTACTTCCAGAAGTTTCCACAAAAGAAAAAAGAAGACAGGTAAGTGAATGTTCAGTTGTCTGCCACTTGAAGACTCTCGCATTTCAACAGGATAACTTTGACTTAATGGAAAAAGAAAAAAAGCTTTGTTGATTCTACAAGCAGTACACTACAACTTTTATTACCATAAACATATATAGTATGAGTTCCTTAAAATGTAAATTGATGACTAAATTGATTTTACTGACTCCTTCAGGTAGACAACCAGCTTTTATTCTAAGTGTACTAAAACATTAATGCCTCCCCTAAACTTAGAAGCTTTTAGTCATGTCCTTCCTGTAAGGGTTAATAAACAGAAAGGACTAATACATTTTACTTTTATCAGCAACCTTAAATTAAAAATTAAAATAAAGTGAATTAGCACTGTCATTTTTAAAATATCAGACAATTAATTATTGAATTTATACTAAATGCTCAGCCTAAAAGACCAGTACCTGAGAGAGTGCATCTCTAATTATTATATATGCAGTAATTTTTGCAAAAGACATCCATCAAATGCAAGAGCAATGCAAACTCACCCTGTCTCCTCCATGATGCAGCCACCCCAGGATTCCGTGCAGTCACATTCTAGTCCAGTGAACACATTAAAAGGAGCAAAGTGGGAAAAGGACACAGAAGTCGCAGTTTCAGTGTGCACTACAGTTCCTACAAAAACTCCTTTAATACCAATTTTGTGTCAAAGACAGGGCCATGACCCATTTATTTCCATCAGTACTTCCTTATCTTTTCCAGAAGTATAAGTTGCTTCCAAAGGGGGTGGGGGGCGGGGAGCGTGCCTCTTCATTTCTGTAGCTCAGACAACTTAATTAGGTTCCTAAATTCAAATATTTACTTAAAAATACTCTGAGCTAGAACTAGGAAAAGTGGATCCTAGCTTATATTCTACTGTATGAAAGAGTCTCATAGGCAAGTGACTTAGCATTCCTTGGGTTTGGGTTTCTGCTTCTAAAATAGGAACAATGTCTGTCTCCCAGAAGGGTTCTGGGATTCACACAGATGGCATGCCTGGTGTGCTCTATGAACTCAATATAATATTACCAAAGTCCTTTGGACACAAAGCAGCTAGAGAAGGGAATTCGATTTGTTGAAGTCAATGCCAAAATCAGTCAGAGTTGCAGAACAATAAGCTAAAAGGTTTCACAAGACAGCAATCTAAAATAGTAATTGATCACTTACTAAATAGCCATCATAAAACTTAACCGAGATGCCAGAGATTGACATATTGTTGATATTGTGATGGGTTCTTCTTTTCATTTTTTCCTATCATATATAAAGGAAGTTGGGGGCTATGTTTAGAGGATGGGGGTGGGTGTATGTGTGCATGTGTGTACACGTGGAGACCAGAGGTGAACTACAAATGTCGTTCCTCAGGAGCCATTTATCTTGCTTCTCGAAACGAGGTCTTTCTCTGGAACCTGGGGCTCACCAATTAGGCTAGGCTAGCCAGGCAGAAAGCCCCAGGGATCTACCTGCCTCCAGAACACACACTACCAGCCTGACTTTTTACACGGGTGCTGGGAATCAAATTAAGGCTCTCATGTTGGCACAGCAAGTACTTACTGACTGAGATACCTCTCTAGCCTCAATAAAGATATTTTAAAAGAAAGAATTTCAAAGCTCAAAATTTAGAGCTAATGGAATAGCTACCTATGTAAACAATTCACAAAGGAATGAAGAATTTTAGAAATGAAGAAGCTGTGGCAGGCAGCAAGAATGGGCTTTTGCTCCATACGATCTGAAGAGTTTAACTTGCAGGATAATACTAAGGTAGGTTTTTCATTTTCCCCTCAGGGGATATCAGGGTGGGAAGAGAGACCTTTATGCTCTTATGCTTTTAGAGGAAAGGCAACTTTGACTTAATTTCTCATTAAATGAACAATATGAGTGAACATGTTGGCCTCTTTCCTACAAAGTCCTACTGTGATGGTTTGCCTTCTGCCACAACAATACACCCAAATCATATCTGACTACTGTGCAAGTGCAAAGAAGAATATAATTCAGGTCAGACTTTATCCTGATTTTAAAATAAATTAGGCATTTTCATGGGCTTCTAAAACTGATGAGCCCAACAGGCATGGTAGCACATGTCTTTAATCCTAGCATTTGGGAGGCAGAGGCAGGCAGATCTCTGTGAGTTTGATGCCAGTCTGATCTACACAGCAAGCTCTAGGCCAACCAGGGCTACATAGTGAGATCATGTCTAAAACAGTAAAAAAAGCATGATGAGCCCTCGACACTTTGTCTTTTGGTAAGTCGGTCCTTTCTTTCCATCTTTAATTCGATCAATGAAAAACGTGACATCCATAATCGTTCCTTTTACTTTGGTGGCCGTGTGTGGACTCCCTCTTGGACCTGCCTCTGCACCAGGGAGAATTCTGTCCTCTTCTACCCACCCTAAGTTTAAAAGGCCAGCAGCAAGCTCTGTCTGGGGGCAGTCTTCTCCAACTTTCAGGACATGTCTACATAGTCCTGTATACATAGAGTCCTTTGTGACTCTAGCTCTCAGCTCCTTTCCAGTCCACTGTACCTTTAAAAAACTTGTCATGGAGCTGCATCTGGCATTTTGTGTCTATTCTCAACTGATTAGACCCAAAAGGAGAATATCTACCACCCCTTGTCCCAGTGTTCTGTAATGCAAGAAAGATCTGATTCATGCCTTGAGAAACTGGGTATGAGTTTATGGATTTTGAAAGGGAAATATCTTCAGCCCAAATAGCTTAATAATTACCTAAAGTTGCTCAATTTTTTAGACAAAGGAGATATACCATAATTAAACTGCTGTCACTTAGCAATGAAAAGTTCTTAATGATTACACATGTATTATACAGACAGAATGACACATGAACTTAAGTAAAAAGGTCAGTGTACATACTTGGCTTCCTGCTAGAAGGTTCCCACTGGATTCCAAGGTTTTGAGCCAGGCTCTGCGATAATACTTGTGCCACTGCTATTGGAAGCCCATACTGCTTTTCAGAGTTGAAAGTGTGTGGAAAACATTTGAGAGAGTGCAAAGCTAGTTAATATTTTTTAATTATTACCACATACCACCCAATCCCCTAAATAGAGCCTCACAACATCTAAAGATGGAATATTCTTCAGATTACTTCTCCTTTGCAACTGGGGGACCCAAGAGGCAGAAAGCACCCTTCCCTGTGTGGCATGTTTCAGAACATGAAGCTTTCACATGGATAGAGAAAACATAAGTCACCAAAGTTGTGCTTCAACTCAACTCATCACAAACCAAGAATAAACCCAACTTAGTACAAATACGTCAAGAAGGTCCCCCTACTAAACGATGGCTAGTGGACTAGACTACCCAATAAAACATTCTGCAGCCAACCATGGTGGCACATGACACAAATCCCCATACTTGGGAGGAAGAGGCAGGCAGATATCTGTGAGATCAAAGCCAACATGGTTCACGTAATAAGTTCCAGGTCAGCTAGGGCTACAGGAAAACCCTGTCTCGAAACAACAACAAAATATTCCAGCATTGACTAGGGTTTTGATATTGTTGAAAAAATTATTAATGGCTTTGGGGGTGATTTTGTCAACCAAGAACCTTCCTTATAAAAATTAAGGTAGCAAAATTCAAACAATGATATTAAGAAAATACTTGTTTTAATTCATACTAAAATTAAGTAGAAAGCATAAAGATAATACTTTAGAATGAAATACACAATTTTGGATTTAAATGAGTAAACTTGGTATTTAAACAAGTTAACTCTAACATGAGCAAGAGAGCATTAAAGTTACCAAAAAAAAGTTATGGGAAAAGAACGAATAAGCTTATAAAAACTTAGCATTTAATCTATACAGGCCTAAAAATCTCTGAGCTAACTGTCAGTTACATTTACCTGACAAATTTGCAAAACTAACATTATGCTACCCAAAGGTATCATTATCAATCAGAAAGAATACTTTGGGTTCTGTTTATTGATTGAAACAACTCATGCTACAATGTCATCATTCTACATGTATAGAAGAAGCACTATAAACTAGGACTTTAGGAAGAGGATGAGCTGCAAAGACAGAGTTCTACATAAGGAAACATAAAATTTACCTCATTCACACCAACGCCTCTCGTGCGAGAACACACACCCCCAAAGTAACTCAGACTACTTCTCTTATAGTGGAATGTCACACGCCTTGGAAAGACAAAGTACTGTTAGAAAACTCTCCTCAAACATGTGTACTCTCCTGCACTGGGCACCCAGGAAACCACCCTCCACCAGGAAATCAGAAACTTGTATTTATTTATTTATTTATTTATTTATTTATTTATTTATTTATTATTTTTGTCTTTTGGGGACAGGGTCTCCTGTAGCTTCAGCTAGCCTATAACTCACTATGTAGACCAGGTTGGCCTCCGTCTCACAAAGATCTGCCTGCCTCTGTCTCCCAAGAGCTGGGATTAAAGGCCTAAATCACCATGCCTGGCTAAGAACTGTATTTTAGATATATTTCAATTTATGCTGTCATAAATTCCATAATTTTCTACTAGAGAATGCGTATCACTGATTATTATAAATTGATAAGGTCTTGGGGTGGGGGGAGGAAAAGGTAAAGATGATGCATTTGTTGGTTTGATTCCAGGGAGGAAAGTCTGAAAACAGCTTTGTCACAAGTAGAGAAGAAAAATAGCAGAAAGCACAGCAGTGCACTTCTTCCTCAGTGACAGAAGCACAACTGTGCTCAGTGGTTTGTCTGGACTTCCGACAGCTAGATTTAGCCATCTGAAGTCAATGCATGCAAAGTTTCAGGAAATCTGCTTTCCTGAAAATGGACAGAAATTGACTCAGCTGGAGGGAGTGCCCTATTGCTCTTCCCCCCGCCTGGCATCCCTGATGCCTGTAATAAGGGTTTGGGTGCCAGTAGCATCTTGGATTGTGATTTGGCCATAAGGATGGAAGATCTGTCCTCTAACAGGAAAGCGCATGGCTATGGAGCCAGCAGCATCCCAGCACTAGGATTCTAACTCTGTTAACACAGACATGCAGCCTTATCTGACATGTAACTGATACAATAAAGTGATAAAGATAAATGTCAAGCCAGCAACTGCCAGGAGAGCCTGAAGAAACACGTACGAGATGAGGTGGACGGCGTCAGCATGCTGCTTGATACGCTGCCGATATTTGGAGAACTCGTGGAGCACCTGCACGGGGTTGATGGTGATATCAATTTGATCCTTCTCAGTCCAGGTCTCTACAGCCACCAGGACAACCCTGGTGTTGAGCTGCTCCTTGTAAATCTGAGGGTATACAACAGGACAGGTGCAGGAGGAAAACACTGGGTCAAACATGCACGATCAGTGAGTCAGTCAGTGGAAGGACAGGAAGGGGGAGGTGAGAGAACACGGGGTCAGAATTAGCTCATCATAGAGAATTTGCTTTTCTTTTCTCTTTTCCAAGAGATAAAATAAAGAAAAAAGAAAAAAAACCCACAGAATTCAGTCTTGTCTCGTCTACTCTCCTAAAGATCATGTCTACTCCCACATCAGTATCTTTTTTAACAGCCTGGTGGCAGTTAGCAGGGATCTAGGGCTACCAAGTCCCTTGTCAGGGCCTACACTGACAACAGGGTTTGTTATTTGGAAAACAATGTTTCCAAAGCCCAAGGGCGATAGCACGCTAGAGCCTGACACAGTGACCCTATGTGCAATATGACCAGTTAATCCTGGTAGGATTGGGAGGTTTCATCAGATGAAATGGCCGACTCGCCATGTTACATAATAGCTCTGAGAATCATGGATCTAAGGCCAAAGGAGGAAAAGAGCAATCTGTCAGCAATCTCACCCTCAGCACAGAGTGCCGACCCTCATAATAATCTTTCTGTTTTGTTCTTTCTCTACTCCTGGCCAAATAACTAAAGAATTCACACAATTAAGCAACTTCAATGAGAGCTGTCACTTTGTCCCAGTTTCAAACTATTTAAGAAAACAAATGAACAGTCTTTGAAGACACTGAGAAGGATGCTGTCCTTAGAATGAAGTTCTAACGACTTTACACAAAGGTGACTTAGGGTAATATCTCTCTGCTATGAATGACCAGCACCAGAACCATATATGGTAACACAAAATAAAAATTAAATTTTGCTACGTATGATTCTATTCAATCACGTAGAAGTGAGTAACACAGAGATGCTTCTTAATAAATGGCTTTTGCAGGGGAAAAGATGTGTTTAAGATTCTCTTTTCCATATTCAGTTATAGCTTTCCTCTGAGCAGATTGACAAGAGCTGAAATTAAAGAAAAGTAATGAGGCAGATGTAAACCAGCTCTCAGGGGTTCAAACTTAATTTTATATTACTTATTCTATGCGCATCAACTCATATTACAATTCTGTCAGCTGCGCCTACCAGGCACATAACATATGCTAGGTGCATAAAATATGTTATGAATATTTACATGATGAGTGGTTTGGGGCTGTTTAAAAGGCAGAAAAGAGGCAGCTCCTTGGAGTAAATAACATTTAGATGCTTGGCAATTTATAAAAAGGATTTTTTTCACAATTAAGAAGGACCATATAATAAATACAAGATAAAAATGCATTCAGCTTAACAAAATAGCAGTTCACAGTAGAATATACAAATTAATTTATGCTAGTCAAATTGAATTATTTATTGGAACATAATGCATAATATTTAGCTCTATCAAGTTTCTACCTAAGGCAGGAAATATGAAGAAAATTTTAACAATTATTCTTTGTAAGTTATAAAGTGACAGGAGGAAATAAAAACATGCCAATAGTGGAGGTTTGGAGGTCAGCACCCTTTCAAGGAGGCATATATTTCATTGATTTGAATTAGTCTTATGTGGTGATGGCATCTAATTCTATCATCTAGAAATCTAGAAATTAAGTCTGAAACTGTCCATTGTGGGAGAACTGAGATAATAAACACATATCCTTAAAAACTCCATCTATCTATATCCTCTAAACATATGCTGCCTCGGTCTGTTAGTATTTTTCTATTCACCCAAAATATTTAAGCAACGCTCAAGCTGTTATTAACAAAGTCTCATGTGCTGAATATTATTTCCAGTCCTCTCAGTCTTTCTCCATCGCTTCCTGTTCCCCGTGGCCTTTGGTAATAACAGAAGCAATGCTGTACAATTACTGTAGATTAATAAAAAATTTCTTATTGTTTAAGGAGATGGCAATGCTGGCTAGTCTGGTTTGCTCATTAGACACTGTTCACACGTACCAAATTATCTCAGTACCCCACAGATACATACAATTAAAGTGATAATTAATGAAAGTCAATAAGCTTAAAAGAAGGAAGCAATGCTAACGCATCTTGGGGATTCTGAGAACAACTCAATGGGCCTCTGAGGGGCACAGAGCACTGCTCTGGAGGATGCTCCCCATCCTATGATTTCTCCACCAGAAGAACTTAGGGATTTTACTTTACCCAAGAAACAGCTATAGCATAATCAGTGAGCAAAGAGAGGCAGATATAGAAAACATGCCATTTTTTTTTGAAGTTTCAAGAAAATCAAGATACTCACAGAGTCCACAAGGTTGACCACAGACTTGGCAAAGTTGTTGGTATGTGCATGAGAAGAGCGGTGCTTCTTATACTGGGGAAAGAGAAGATGTACCAGTCACTGCCAAACTCTATTTGATGGCAAATGTCAAAATTCTGTAAAAGTAGAAATCTCTTAGAGACACTAGAAACGAGGTTCAAGTACAGAATTTGGTTTTGCGCTTCACCAGAGACAGTGTTGTGCCTCCTTTTCTCCTCTCAACCCAAACCCCCACAGCAAACTGTAAAATACCCACCATAGTACAGGAAATAGGTAGGGTCTACAGGAATCTATGTGGAAAACCCTGTCCCTGCGAAGTTTCTAATTTAGCCTTAACGTCTACCTGTTCATTTCTTTTGCTTTCACTGAAATGAATCTTTACAGTATATAAAGGGTTTGGACCCCAAATCAGTATCCACTGGACACTTTCCTCACTTTAAAGTCAAGGCTATGCATGAGTCAAGAACATTTCCTTTACACAGCACTTTAGACACTGCCCACAACAGAGAAGTACTTGTCATGCATTTAGTTCATTTCTCCTAAGGATACCACTCCTAAATGTAGCCTTTATTTACTTCCGGTAGATCAAAGTCAAAGAAGAGACAAAGTCAAAGGAAGTATGCTGGTAGTCAATGATGATTACAATTATTTAAAAATAAATTAACAGAATCATTCCATGTATCATCTGGGGTAGGCACTGTAGGGCACACCTGTAGTCCCAGCACATGGGAGGCTGAGATGGGATGATCACTTGGGCCCAGGAACTCAAGACCAGCCTGCACCACACAGCCCTGTCTCATAACATCAGAAGGCCATTCTGTCCGTTTGTTTGGAGTTGGGGACTGTTTTGTTTTGTTTTGCAGAACAGGAGACAGAACCCAAGACTTCCTGCACGCCAAGCAAATGCTCTATCAATGAACTCCACCTCCCCACCACCACTAAAGGGCTGCATTTTCACCAAGGACTAGTATACTTAACTCAACATATCTTTAATAAGAGGACATGTGAAAACTGCAATCTATCACAGGAATTTCATGCTCACTACTGCTCCATGAGGCTACTATTTTTACAACCATGAGGAAAAACAAAAACATAACTGAAACAAATGATTGAAAGTTTTATCACTGACAAGTCTTCAAAATTTGTCATCAATTACACTTATTAAAACAATTGTATCTTTTATAGCAATTAAAACTATATACTACTACCATGTGAATTTGGGGACCATTTCCAACACATGAATTTCAGAAGAACATTTGAAAAATTACAGGAACTTAGAACTACAATTTAGAGGCACTAAATGTGAGCTGCTTATTCAGTACTGAAACAGGGTTGTCAAATCTGCAGTTGGTTCCTGATCATGGAACTCAGAAGTCTGGAGCTCTAAAGTAGGGAGTCAGGGATTTCAAGTCATGACATGACTTAAAGATTTGAAACTAGAAGGTGTCACTCAGAAAAAGAGCATTAAACAGAGTCCTGAACCAAGTCAGATGGTGGGGGAGGGGAGTACGCACACCCATACATAATTCTAGGAGTCAGATAATAAAGAGAAGAAATAGCAGAGGTAGGTGCTGGAGAGATGGCTCAGTGATGAAGAGCACCGGCTGCTCTTGCAGAGGACCCGGGTTCAGTTCCCAGTACCCACATGGCAGCTAACAACTATCTATAACTCCAGCTCCAGGGGATCTGACACCTCCTTCTGACCTCTGAGGGCACTGCATGATATGAGTGCACTCACATACTGCAGGCAATATACTCATACACATAAAATAAAAATAATTAATAAAATATTTTTTAAAAATAAGAAATAGCAAAGGTAGAAGAATTTTATGGTGTCATAGAAACCAGAAGAGGAATAAAATAGTTTTTTAAAAATAAAACAACAGTTGGCTGTATTCAATGATGCTAAGAGTTTAGGAAAAGGACAAAACAAAGCTGGAGAAATAGCTAAGTAACAGAGCACTTGTTTAGCATGTACAAGATCCTGGGTTCAATGCCCGGTGCCACCAAAAACCCCACACAGTATGTTAACTAGGATTTAAGAGGAACTGCAAGTGTTTTTTCTACCACAAATATCCACTCCTCACAACTTTATGACGTGAGCTTTATTATTCCCAAATAACTTATCTAAGATCATGGCCTGGAATTCAAAGCCTGTTCTACTGGGCTGGAACATGACATTAACTTGTTCAGATAAGAATTCTTATGAAAAAGCTTATAAACTATTATTTACTATATATCCCCCAACAAGTCAGGATTATTGATGAGAATTTGTAATTTGTTACATACATAAAAAACACAATGGTTTTTAAGTAAGGAAAATCAAATGAGGTTTTAATTGAAAAATATTTGAGTCACCGTTTATTTGCACTTACTGGCTGATCCTTAATAACCCAGCAGTAATGTAAGCAAAGCACTTGCTTTGTGTCTGCTTTAAAATATCTCAACCAATTTTTATTAGGTTTTTAATATTTATTTTTAGCTTAAGCGGCTCAAAGAAATGTTTGCAGACTCTTATCAAGCTATAATTGCACACAAATTAGGTTCCGCCCGCTAGGTACGAAGATGCTTTCTACAAATTTGAAAGATTTTTTTTTCTTTCTAATTGAAAGCCACTGATAATGGGCTGCTTGTTCAAAACACGATGGGTGTGATTTTTCAGGCAGCCAATATGAGAGAGGTAAGCGTGAATGCAAATGTAGGCAAAATGTTTCCATTTCCTGCATGAATGAGAACTAATTTGGCAAATAAAGAAAAATGTGCAAACTCCATTTATGATAAAACTTACCTTCACATTTTGTGATCACTGAAAACCATTTCCATTTAAACTGACAAATTGGCTTTCATTTCCTGAATAAATGAAGCCCTTAAGAAATGTGCCCTTTAGAAAACAATTAAAGTTAAACCTTATTTTCAACTCAAAGGTGAGAGTTATAAAATCCCGCTGCCTGGTATAGCATAAATGCTGTAAGGTGAGTCCTCTCATGGGACGATTATGCTAAAGCCCATCAGCTAATCTCCAGACACTGCAAACAGGTATATTGTTATCCTAGCTGCTGCGGCTTGAGGCACTGCATGGGAGTGTCGGTATTCTGCTCTCTGTACCCATTTTCTAAGTCTCTGCAGCAATTACAGTTAAGAACTCCCCTTATTTGATAGAAAGAATACCTTCAAAAAAGGATATTTTTCAACTCTTATAAAGGTTCTTTTCTTCACATAAACATGTTTTATTAACATATTTATAACTAATACATCCTAATCATGCTTATTTTGGGGGTTCAATGTGACCTTTGAGTACATGTATACAATGTATAGCAATCAAATCAGGAAAATAGGGATATTCACCACCTCAGACCTGTATCATGTCTTAATAAGGTTAATACATTTGTAAGAGGGTTCTTAAAAATGAAATATTTATTTGGGACTATTAGAGAATAGAATGTAACTTGGTCTTAAAGCAAAAGGAATATATTTAGTTCTACTATCTCAAAATAAAATTTTTTAAATGGTACAAATCTCTCAAGCCATTCCATTCTGTCTTGAGCATTATTACCAAAACCTAGCCAAAAATCAAGGCTTTTTTCATTTTTTAAATATATTCCCCAAAACTTAACCATTACAAATTACTGTTCTTTTTTTCTAGGTTGAAAGACACATGAACACACATTTCCATCCATTATTATAGTTAAATGGAAAAACAAATTTTATTGATTTTTAAATTTTTTTATTGAGCTTTTGTAATTTCATACAATAGTTCTTAATCAAATTTAGATCCCCCTCCCCATCCATGCTTCCCTCATCCCCCCACTGGACCTCATGTATTCCACCATACATGTTAAGTCCTATTCATTCAGGTGTTTGTACCCAAATGCCCTTCAGTGTAAATTCGTCCACTGGAGTCTAGTTAGTCCATCTAGCAATTGTATATAAATCATACTCCCCCTCACCCAGCAGCAATCAGTCTCCAATAGTTCTCAGTCTAGTGTGGGAGATTAAAAGATGGCCTGGTGAGATGGCTCAGCAGGTAAAGCACTTGCACTGCCAGCTTGAAAACCTGAGTTCAATCTCTAGAACTCATGTAAAAAACCCAGATGTGGCAACACACATCTGGAATCTCAGTACTGCAATGCCAGATGAGAAGTGGAGAGAGGGGAACTGCCCAGAAGCTTGTAGACCAACTAGCCTGGAATGCACAGCAGAAGCAAGAGACTCTGCCTCAACAAGGCAGAAGGAAAGAACCAGCTCCTGCAACTGACTCTGGCCTTCACACCATGCTAGGGCACCTGCATGCCTGCAATCACATACACATACACACATACACACACACACACACACAGACACACACACACACAGAGATACACACAATAATAAATACAATTATAAAAAGAAATTAAAAGTTGTGGTAGCGTAAATAAGATTAAATTTATGACAAAATACAAGGTATAATGAATAACAGTTTTTTATTAGGAAATTATATTTCTAAGCAAAGTGTTATGTAAGATAAAATTATTATTTAGGATTATTTAAATGTTTACCTTTCTATGACACAGGGTCTCCCTGTAGCCCCAGTTGGCCTAGAACTCACTCTGGAGACCAGGCTGGCCTCGGTCTCACAGAGATCTGCCTGCCTCTGCCTCCCTCCTGAGTGCTGGGATTAAAGGCATATGCCATGATGCCCAGCTGAATGTTTATCATTTTTAAAATATTAAAATCATAGGATCTGGAGAGGTGACCCAGCAGTTAAGAGTGCATAGTGATCTTGCAGAGGCCCCAAGTTTGGTTTCCAGCACCCATGCTGGGTGGCTCATAACCACCTGAAACTCCAGTCTAGAGGATCTGATAGCCTCTTCTAGTCTCTTTGGTCACATGTACTCACACTAACATTCCCACACAGAGACAGGCACATATACACATAACTAGAGAATAAAATAAAATATTTAAAATACCAAAAAGTAAATTTAGAGGGGATGGGGCTCTGCTCAGTGGTGCAGTGCATGCCTAGCACACAAACAGCAGTGTGTTCAATCCCCAGGACACCCCAAAGTAAATTAAACTCAAATGGGATGGTTAAGAAATTATGAAGAATCCTGTCATGCAGTGACTGAGGTCTCCTCTCTAAGTGGTAGCCTTGTGTATCTCCCATATGTTTATGATGGAACAATAAATTGGGAATTGTAAGCAAAAGTTTGAAAACTGATGTGAGCCAGCGGAATAGCTCAACTAGTAAAAGTGTTAGCTTTACACTGGCTGTTCTTGCAGAAGACGTGAGTTCAAATTCCAGCACCCACACTGCGGCTAACAGCCATTCGTAACTCCAGTTCCAGGGGATTCAACACCCTCTTCTGTCCTCCCTGGACACTGTGGATGCACTTACACACATGTAGGCATAACACAAAAACACATAAAATAAAAATTAAATTTTTAAAAAGTACTTGCTCTATAAGCCTGATAACCTAAGTTCAACCCCCAGAACTCATGGTGGAAGAAGAGAATTAACTCCTCCAAGTTCTCCTCTGACCTCCACAGACACACTGGCACACAGCTCTCTCTCTCTCTCTCTCTCTCTCTCTCTCTCTATCTATCTCTCTCTATCTCTCTCTCTCTCAACACATGCACAAACACAATAATAATAAACAAATCTTTTGAAAACATAATTGATGTTATTGACTACTAATTTGGGAGAAATGGCTTCTGAATGCTCAACAGCACGGTACACATCTTAATTATTGTCTTTACTACCTTACAAAATTTGTATAATGGAAGCTGGGGAGAGTTCAGGCTTCTAAAGACATCATTGCACAACAAACCACACAGGTTTGATGATGTGTGAAGATCTCAATGCCCAGTCAACAAAAAGCACTTCAGATGAAGATGCCCTCACTAGCATCCTTCAGAAATTCACCCTTCCTTATCTCAAATCACTATCCCACACTTGGTTTTCCTTATAAGGGAAGACTTCTAAATTGTAGGTAATTCTAACAAATTTCCCTTCTTATTATATCTCAAGATATATTTAAAGACTGATACAGAAAATACATTTATATACAAAAATAAAAGGAATTCTATAGAAAAAGCAATTCACAGCACAACTGAATTGGTATGTGGCAATTAAATGTAATTAATTTAAAGCATTCACTAAGTAGGAGACTCAAATAAAAGTTCAAACGTACATTAAGCCTTTTAAAATGTACACTTTCAAGGCTCTGCTGAGTAGAATTTCATGTTGTCAATTTAGCTTGAAATGCAACCATATCCTATAGTTCACTAATCTATGTTTGGTTTCCTTAAAATACAAGGACTTAATGATGCCTGGATTTTTAAAATATTTTTAAATTTAATTTATTTATATTTTATGTGCATGCATGTATTGCCTGCATGTAGGTAAGTGCATCCATGTTGCGCAATGTCCGCAGAGGTCAGAAGAGGCTGTCGGATCCCCTGGGACTGGAGTTACAGACAGTTGTTAGCTGCCATGTGGGTGTTGGGATTCAAACCCGGGTCTTCTGCAAGAACAACCAGTGCTCTTAACCGCTGAGCCATCTCTCCACCCCTTATTTATTATTTTTATTTTATGTGTATATGTGTATTGCCTACATGTAGGAAAGTGCACCCATGTCGTGCAATGCCCGTGGAGGACAGAAGAGACTGTCAGATCCCCTGGAAATTAAGTTACGGACAGTTGTTAGCTGCCATGTGGGTCCTGGGATTCAAACCCGGGTTTTCCCCAAGAATAGTCAGTGTTCTTAATTGCTGAGCCATCTCTCCAGCCCCAATGCCTGGATTTTTATTCTAATATTTGATAAGGCTCTCACCTATATCTGACTTTTAAGCACTTTTCAAAGATTCTCATCTTCATAAAATCTTTCCAGAAATGAAATTTCATTTCCATAAATTCAAGTACTTTTAGCATATGCAACTTTAGAAGTAAACTGCATAACTGGTGCAAAAATAACCAGTGGCCTAACGTGTCTGGGAGTATGGCAGTGGTAGGGAAGCTGCAGGCACACGGCTCAAAAGAGCCAACTGGTCACATCCTTACCCAGTTCTTCAACCAATGTTCTCACTTCCATAGTTTGAAATCAGCCACAATTGGAAGAGTTCAACCCTGAGATCAGCTTAGCAGAGACTTTGTTACTGTTCAAAAACTGGTTCTTAAAATTTGCCAGCACACCCCCAGTGATGAGCACAGTAGCTTACAGTCTGGGTCACAAGACATTCAGCAAGCTATAGCCTTCAGCCAGGACAAAGAGAGGGGAACAGGTAAGTAGAAGATAGCTTCTAGAAGGATAAATGGAGGGTAGTGGTTTATTTTCATGTTTCTCTGAAGCGTTACCAAAATGACAGCTCAATATATTTGACTTCCACAGAATTACAGAAGACTTTTCACTTTTTCAATATTTAGTAAAATAAATCACTGCTTAAATATGATCTCTTCAGGGGCTGAAGAGATGGCTCAGTGGTTAAGAACACTGGCTACTCTTGCAGAGAACTCAGGTTCAATTCCTAGCACCCACAATTCCAGGGGAATCCAATGCCCTCTTCTGACCTCTGAAGGCATTTCATGACACAAGTGCACTTACGTACATACAGGCAATATGCTCATACACATAAAATTTAAAAAAATAAAATTTTAAGAGGGTGATCTCTTCAGATATATCTTTATTTTGTTTGTTTTTCTTCAGTGCTGTGGATTGAACCCAGGGCCTTGCACATGACACACACACACACACACACACACACACACACTTAAGGCTGAAGGGAAACTATTTAAATAGCAAAAATAATCTTCAGTTCACAGTAGCAGAACTACTTTGGAGACAGCTTGTATAAATGAACAGTATCATGGTAAATGTATTCAGCCCTGAAATAACCTCTGGTACTGTGCAACAAACTTGTAAAGTGTCTCGCAGCTTAGCCTGCTCTTTAGAAGCCACTGTGGGTCCAATCCTGCTGCCCTTGCATTTCTTTTATGCTCACACAGCTCCTATTAACATTGCTCAAAGTTCAGGAACTAGGAACTAAGGGAAATTTTTCTTTGCTTCCTCAATTCTCAATAGCTTTGCAGTCATAGATATTTAGCTATACTTTCCCAAGAGAAAAATGGGTATTTTGCACACACACACACACACACACACACACACACACACACACACACACACCACAAAACAAAGACATGAAATAACATAGGAAGCAGTAACCGAAGACATAGATGAAGAAAAGTAGACAGTAAGAATTTTAAATGCACACAAGTGAAAAATATCAAATCAGAAATCTATTGAGTATAATCTCTACTAAACAGAGGGAAAAATTTTAAAGTTGTAAAATTTCTATAAAACTACTGTCTCCTCATCATCAAGTAACAAATTAGTCATTTAGAATTACCAGAAAATTTGTGTCTAAATATCTTTACTTAAGTAGAAAACAATAATTAAATCTAAGTGAAATGTATTTTTTCTTTAGTAAGCTATTACACATTGGTTCTATATTCTTACCATCTTGTGATCATTAACAATCATAAGCTCCAAATATTTCATTTCTTCAAACACACCACGTGATGGCTAAAGAAAATAAAAATACAAGATCAGAATAGTGGTTGATATATAATGCCTCTAATGTCCAGGTTGTAGATAAACCTGGAGTTCCAGTACTCTTTACCATCTACAAACACCATAGGAAGAAATCCAGTGGAGCAAATTATTTATAAGTGACTATAAAGTGTTGGTGAGCCCTCAAGTATTCAGAAAATAACTATTTCGCTATCTTTACTCATCAAAATGGGGAACAGATCATGTTGTTTCTGTATGGTTTTTCCATGTAAAATATTCTAGAAGAAAATGCATAGGATAATAGCTAAAAATAAATAAATCTTCATTTCTTTTGCATTAAAATGATAAAATATTCATATCTAATTAAAACATTAAAGAGAGCCCACTTTAAACTCATTTCTTAAAAACCACATGAACTATACTTACCTGCAGACATATCTGAAAAAGGCATCAAGGTGGCCATACAAACATTAACTTACTAGAGTGAATGTCTATTAATAATATACCCTTTCTTAACTTTGGATAGGAACAAACACTGATAGATAACCCATTAAGAATAGAGAATATTTTAGTCCTCACTTAGACTTACTTTTATAGCTGAAAAATTAATAATGATGCTTCTTTTTAAATTTTCATTATTCATTTATTTTTATGTGTATGAGTGATTCACCTGCATGTTAAGTGTACCCATGTCCTGCAATGCCTGAAGAAGCCAGAAGAGGGCGTAAGAGCCCCTGGAACCAGAGTTACAAATAACTGTTACTGTCATGTGGGTACTGAGAACTGAACCTGGGTCTTCTGCAAGAGCAGCCAGTGCTCTGAATCGCTGAGCCATCTCTCCAGGCCCACGATGCTTCTTTCTTCATTTTTATACATAATAACATCAGTCTAGTGAAAGGAAGACCTATGTAAAACTTACTACAAACTGCATCTTTAAGAGTAAGCAAAAAGAGAATTCTAAGTATAAAAATACACATAAAAATTGTATTCAAGGCCACCATAATACCAATACACACTATGTAAGAGGATAATTTAAACCTGAATTAAGTCTAAATAACTGGGGGTCTAATTTATTTCACACACAAAAAAATATTCAACTAAGCATTATCTAAAACATGCAATTTTACTATAATTACTCATTAAGTTATCTAGTAAATTACTGTGTGATCTACAAGCTGTAGAATTAATTCTTGGTTACAAGGCATTCACCATGCAATTACTAAACAGTGCCCCTCATTACAGCTTTCTCATCTATTATGAAAAGAGTAGGAACATATTTCAGACACAAAGCCCCCATTGATGTACTGAAGATATACCCTGGTTATTGGTTCCATCATTGCACAACTTCTAGTGAGCCATTAGTGCCAACAAAGGAATGACATTCTGTCATTCTGTTCTGTAAAACACATCCAGCTTTCATGTTTGGTATAACAAGAGAGTTTAATTCAGAAGATATACAAATAAACCTAATTATCCAATTTTCAAAACCTAACTCTCTGACTTTGTTAACAGAAATGTTTTATATGACATTATGCATGCCATATCACCTCTCAAAATAAAGCTACAGTGAATGTTCTTCTTATTGCATTTTTTCTTTATTTATTTGGTGGGTGTGTGTGTGTGTGTGTGTGTGTGTGTGTGTGTATGTGTGCATGAGTGGGGTTGTTGCATACTTATGATCGGCAGGAATCGGCTCTTTCCTTCCACCATGTGAATCCTGAAGACTGAACTCAGGAAAATTCTTTACCTACTGAGGCTGATGTGTTTATGATGGAAAAACAGGTATATTCTAAGTCTCAGAAGAAGACCTGTTAAAAATAGAGCTAAAACAGTAAACTTCTCATCAGGATTCACAGGACACTGTAATAGTTTGAATCAGAGGAAGCTGGAAGTATCCTAGAAATGCTCATGAGATAGGGGTTCCATGTTCATTATTTTCATTTTTCAGAAGAAATACCCAAAATTTAAACTGTTCCGGGAAAACTTAGAGATTGTGGTAAGGAAGTGAGATTAAGCAGGCAGGACTGAAGCCCAAGGCTACCAGTTTGTAGCCCAAGACTACACTCACGTTCACTGCTCTCTTCCTTCTTCTCAGCCACTGTAATTCAGATAGAAAAGGCCACTGGTCACTGCCGTCTGTACCTGTGTAAGAGAAAAACAAGCATCAAATGGATGCTGATGACATGCCAGTAGGAGATATCTTCAATATTACACGGAGGAACAGTGCCATAATACACACCATCACAAAGCCAAATAAACTACAGTAAAACAGTACACAGGTCAGCAAACATCTCACATACATGGTCACAAAGATAGTTCAAACGTGATTTCTGTATCATCATCATGAAAAATGTGAGCTGTTTGAGCTTAATGAAAAGATGCCTATTTGACCTACAACTGCCTGACAATATCTGAAGAACTCTACTATGTCTAATTCATCTTAGAACTTAAAAATGATATGTGGCTGGGGCTGGAGAGATGGCTCAGCAGTTTAAAACACTGACTGTTCTTGCAGAAGACCCAGGTTTGAATCCCAGCATCCACATGGCAGCTAACAGCTGTCCATAACTCCAGTTCCAGGGGATCCGACAGTCTCTCCTGTCCTCTGAGGGCATTGCATGACACGAGTGCACTCGCCTACATGCAGGCAGTACAACCATACACATAAAATAAAGATAATAAAATATATTTTAAAAATGATACGTGGCATAAGCATTTGTACAAACTATGAAAGACTTTGGGCATTAATATATAGGAGGACTATCACATACTCCCAAGAAACCAAAAGAAGCCTTTGCCAGCATTAGCACACTGCAGACAATGCAGGGGTTGGTAAACTACCTTTTACATTTATGTGGGTCCCAGCAGCTTTATTCCAGAGCTTCACCATCTTTCCATCGAAACAGTTCATGCCTCATTCCATCCACACTGCCCATCCACCTGCTCACCTGCCTCATTCCATGAAAGACTCGTTTCCCTCCACTGCCCATTCACACTGCTCACCCCAGTTCTCAGGTCAATTTCCCCTTCCCAACAAGCCTTCATGTCAACAGAGGTTCACGGAGTCAAAGCCGGCACTCTACATAGCTATTTTAATGAAAACTTACTGAGATTCTTCATTTGCTTAGAATACTGTCCTGCCAAGGTTTTCTGGATTATGTGTGGTCGGCCTGTGCTTTTCTGAAACAGAAACAATTGTAGGGAATAAAAAAGCCAGATCTGAGCAAGCCTCTGCGGACCAGCTTCCTATGGTACTTTCTCTCACGTCTGTCCTGGTGTGGGAATGATTAGGTGCCAAAATTTTAGCTATCAGAAGGAAAAACATACATCTTACTTTAATTTTAAATAAAATGGAATCCTTTAATGCTCGCAATTTAGATCAAAACACAGTTGTGTTAGTTACTCCTAAATCTCCACTTTCTTCAAAACCACAAGTGGGAAATTTCTAAGAGAGACACACAGAGGGTTCACCAGCATGAGAAAGTGCTGACATTTTAACACACTTCCAAGATGCAAATTTCTCAAAAATGAACGGCAATTTTCTCATCAAATTGTAAATGGTTTAAAAACTACGATATCCATAGTTAATTGCAGTTGCAAGGCAGAAAGGACTTGTGCATTGCTGGAAAAGGGGACTAGTGACAAGTTTAAGGAATATTTTAGCGTTATCTAGCTGCAGCCTAGAAAATACACTTTCTGGAATGCCTCACTGCCATTATTAACAGTGGTGTTAGCACTGACAGCTGAGTGCTTAGTGTGCACAGACCAGCATACATATATGTGTTGTTCAATTCATTCCTAACAAGAAGCCCATAAAGTCTATATTTTAATCCCCATTTTAAAAATAAAATACTGAGACTTAGAGAGACACATTATTGGGTTAACACGTACTATGAAGTAATGAGCCAATCAATTTATTTAAAAATACATACCGAAATTAATAATTGAAAAATTGGAAGGATGCTTGCTGAAAGGTGAAGGGCACTTGTCTTATTATTTAGTTAAGTAATTATTTTGCTTTTTGAGATTGTTTAATAATATATTAGGTATTTTTATTGGGGTTTTTGCAGTATTGGAGATTGAACCCAGGGGCTCACGCATAGCAGGCAAGTTCTATGCCACTGAGCAACCTCTAACCTTTTTTATTTTAAACTTTATTTGAGACAGGGTCTCACTAAGTTTCCCACACTGGCTGGCCTTGAACTTGAGATCCTCCTGCCTCTTTCTCCTGAGTTGCTGGCATCATAGGCATGCACCACCTCACTCAGTTAATATATTGCTTTTTAAATCACAAATAGAGTTATAAAAAGAACCCTCTCATTAGGCTTGACAGAATACAATAAAGAATATCACTATTAATTTTCTATTTGCAATAAAACAAGAATTCTCACTGGAACTATCCTGCCCAGACTCTTAACTTACTATAAAGCATGCTAAAATTAGTAATAATAATAATGTGAAATCAAAACACCCAAATTCAATTTGAGTCAATTCTTTATCCTGGTAAGAAGTGAACAGACACCGACTGTGATTAAATTCACCACTGAATCAGCAACCTGGTTTTTAAATCTAATTTAATGTTTCAAGTACCATGCCTTTCTCTCTCCTAGGTAAGGATGAGAACAGATTGTTCTTTGAACAAAAGGTAGGCAGGAGGAAGGCAGGCAGAGAATCAAAGACAATTAGCATGTACCAATCAGCCCCAAGCAATATAATTTTAGGTATAACAATGAAAAACCAATTCTTTAAACATTATGATAATAAGAGTTTATACGTATATAAACCCTTCCAACAGTTTAATAGACACCATGGCACATTTATTAATTCAGTGAATCTGCAAAATTGCCCTATTAGGGATGCATTAGAAATTATCCTATTTACATGTTTTTTAAAGTCAAAGGCTTAGAGAACTCTTCTGTGTTTGTATTGTTTTGTTCTGTTTTCTTCTTTGGGAGCCTTTGGTAAGGAGTGTAAGAGAGCCATTAATCAGAGGCAAAAGTCAGATTTTTTGCTGAATGAATCTGATGGTTTTGCTGTATCATATTATCACTTTGCCATGGAATTGGGAGAATATTTTACTCATCAAAACACCTTAATCTGGGATGAACTGTCATCCATTTCTGGAAATTTTTTAAGTTAGTAATAAAAAAATCATACTAATTTATAAAAATATCACTATGTATAATATAATAGCTTTTCTGCCTCAATTTTGAAAGTTTATCACAAAGTCATACACACACACACACACACACACACACACACACATGAGGGCCTAGCATGTGCAGCTTGAGCTCCAAAATTCATGGTGCCAGTCTAAGTCTGAAATAATGTAACATGGATAAATGTTCCCTGACATCTATATGTATTTTCCCTTACTGTTCAAAGACAAAGATACTAGAAAAGCCAAACACCATAAGGGAACTGATATCATACACCCACCTCATCATGAATCAGCTCCAGCGGCTCGATCATATACACAAAGGTATCGTCTTCAAACATCCCACTGTAACACAGGACACCACAGGAGAGAGTTAGCAAATGTGGTAAACAACAGGCACTAGCAAGTGAGCATCTAGACTGTATCTTTAAAGAGTACATGCGAACAAATGCCCTTTTTAATGTGTTTTATTAAAATTTTGTGTATTTCTTACAAAACATCTTACTCATCTTTATACCTCCTCCCCCATCCACAGCTCCTCATAGCCCTCAACCAGATTTCATGGATTCTGTCATATACGTTAAGGCCTATCAAGTCAACTTAGTGTATCCAGACATCCTTCAGTACACGTTCATCCAGTGGGGTCTAGTCAGCCTATCTAGAGTTATTCCCTTAAAGATCAACTCTCTCTCACCCTGAAGTAATCAGCCGCCAATAGTTCTTCAGCTAACGCTGGGGCCTGCTGTCAGCCGCCAATAGTTCTTCAGCTAACGCTGGGGCCTGCTGTCCATTTCCCCATTATATATGGGGTTTTGTTTGAGTTTGCATTGATTTTGTGCATGTCCCAAATCTAATCCAAAGACTGCATGGAACCCCATCATGGTCTCAGCATTCCAAGCACTCTGCCAGACAGCATTCAGGCTATGGACATGTACAAGCATTCACTAAGCATATGAATTAAACCCGATACCATTCTTTTTTTAATAAACTTATTGCAACATTAATCTGAGATCAGACTTCTCATGTGTTGGGACTATCTCAAATTATCCCAGATCCATATATAACTAGTAAAAAGCCACAAATTTAGTATTTCCTAGAAGAAAACTAACATTCCATTGTCTAAGGCCAATCTAAAACTATCTCTGATTCAGAAAAAGCAGACAGAAGTATATTTATACTTCTAAACTGTAAATTTGCATTGTGTGTCATATATATCAGTTAATTTGGGGAGACATGAGATGTCATTTTTAAAAATAAACTTTGAAAAATAAAGTTTCAAGACCCATTTCATCACATGGCTAAAGCTAAATCTTCATCTCAGACATCACTTGGTTTGGGTCCAAAAGGTGCTTATAGGTGGTTCTGAAGAGTCTCTACCTTGAAGTAAGACATGAGTTCCTTTTAGCATCTCACCCTTGCCTGACTGATACCTAATTAGACTTAGGTCTAATCCAACCAATATGATCTTTGGAAGACACCTGTAGGCACTGCATGAATTAGCTTCACCCCATAAGCCCCAGCTAGAGTTTGGGCCTGGAATGTCCCCCACAGGTCCATATATTAAAAGCCTGATCCCAGGATGGGGGGTGGGGCTGCTTCTAGGAGATAGTGGAACCATTAAGAGGCTGGCCATTGTAGGATATCTTTAGCTCATTAGGGGAATGTCCTTGCAGGGAATTGTGGGACTTAAGACTCCTTCTCACTCTCTTTTTTCTCTCCTGGCCATGTGGTAAGTGGTTCTGTTGCACTACGTATATTCACCATGATGTGCTTTCCCACCACTTGCTCAAAGCAATAGGGCCAACTCATCACGGGCTCAAACCTCCAAAGTTAAACTTTTTCTCTCTGTAAGTTGATTATCTCAGGAATTTTGTTATAGCAACAAAAAGCTAACTAGTATGCCCCTATCCTTGCCCTTCACAGAACCTACCAAAATATTTATTAACCTATATAATCGTTTGATCTCTAAATTTCCTGCATAGTCTAAGTGCTGAAAGAAGGGCTTTGGATGCCTGAAATTACTCCAAATCTAACCCCTAACATAGATTGACATGGGTGAGTCATTAAAATAAAATATCTAGAAAATTAAAACTGGAAAGAGTGAATGGATATGAGCAAGCCTGGAGGTCAAGAGGTCCCAAGAGATTCCCACATACTGAAGTCCATTGCATGTAGACAGAGCCACCCTCGAGTCTTTGACACCTCTGATGCTTCCATGGTAGTAACAGTGCTCTCCACCCTAGAAAGCAGAAGAACGTTTCATTGGCTGCTTGAATCATACGCATTGGGAATCCTGCTCTGGGGAGTTTTGTAAAGGCAGAAAAGGAATGCACGAGTGCTCTGTATTAACAATTCTAGGAACTCCTATTATTTGAAGTCACAAATAGAGCTAGTCAATTACTACATTTTTCTGTAACAAGTATGGATGTGTTTAATGGAGGAAAAAAAAGGCTCTAAGGGGAATAAAACCAGTGTAAATGATGAAGTTCACATGCATTTCTTAAACATGCATTATGGGAATAGTTACAAACCAGATGTGGTTACACAGCAATTTCCTTTCTCCCTCCCACACCACAAACTCGTTCAGATGTCTCTTCTGGTGTTTATACATAATTTTAAATAGAATCTTTATACTGCTATAACCTGATTCATTCCACTTTAGAAACTGTCTTCCTAATATAGAATCACAAAATTTCCTCTTGCCCCCAACACATTTCAATGCACATTTCCCATTTTGGGTTAAATTGCTGTTTAGTGTTCATATTATGACTCTGAAAACAATTGCCCATAGCTATGCTACAATATAATTACATTTTCTCTTTTCCTCCATTTTGAACTTTTGGGGAAGTTTTGCTTTTTTTTTTGGTCTTTTTTTCAGACAGGGTCTCTCTGTAGCCCCAGCTGTCCTGGAACTCACTATGTAGACAAGGCTGCCTTGAACTCACAGAAATCCGCCTGCCTCTGCCTCCCAAGTGCTTGGATTAAAGGCGTACACCACCATGCCTGGCTATGCCATTATATGTAATTAGAATTTTATATATCCCTCTTCTCTGAGAGTACTCTACAATTCTTCTCAATGTGGTCTGATGTCAGTCAATGTGGCACGCCCATTTTGTCCCTGGAGGCATCCTCTTGTTTCCCTCCAACCCCATGCTTTAGTCCAGCCTATTGCTTTCCAGGTCCTGAGCACAGATGCCATGCAGGATGTCTTAGGAGCACCATTATGAAATCTTCCCTTGCCTGCCTCCTACATGGGATCCTAGATTCTATGTCTTCCCCATTTATAGTACCCCTTCCTACATCCTCCTTTTGGAGGCACACAGTATCTGCTACTTGGTTGAAAGGGTGTTTATGAGACCAATTTACTGTGAACTCTCAAAGATGAACATTTCCTTTTCAACCCTCACAGTAGATCCATTCATTTGGTGAGTACAGAATATTAGACTGGACATTAGTTCCTCCTTTACACCCATTCCGGCATTTCTAAGGCCTGTATACAGTCTTCTAGTTTCTAACGCTGCAGTTGAAAATAAACTCTAACACTATCTTCTGTAAAATACGTTGCTTCTCTTTTAGGAGGACTGAAGGAATTCTACTCGGCTCCATGTTCACACAGACTCACAATGAGCCTTGGAGTGCATCTTCACTTCTTTGTGGTACTGAATGCTCTGGGTCACCTAGTTACTGAAAACAACTCATGCACTTCCATTCTGGGAAGCTAGCTTTTATTATTTCTTTCATTATTCCTTCTCCGTGTTTCTTCATAAACTGAGCTGCTGCAGCCAACTAAAGATAGGATATGTGGGCGGGGTAGGGAGTAAACCAGGGATCTATTGACTCTCCAGGTAGGCCTTTCAACCAACCCCCGTCTTTTCAGATGCCATGTGTTCCTAGGCCTTTCTGGCTTTCATGACATGAGTTGGCTTGCTGCTTCCATCTCCCCCATAAGAGAACTTAGCAGAGCAGAAAAAACTCAAAGCTAAGAGAGTAGCTCCTAATTCATCCTCTTTCCATCTCCTAAAATTTCATAGACAACTCTTACCTGCAGTCTTCTCTTGTTTTTGTCCTAGGGGATATATATCGCTTTTTGAGGGCTATTGGGAGGACATCATATAAGTATTTACATATGGGCTGCTTTCTGTTCTTAAGTACTAACGTTGCATATAAATATTGACCTATATATAATATGTTGAGTTCTATTTATGTACTTAATTCTGGGATTTACAAGGACAAATGCATCTCACATCTCAGCACAATGAGAATCCAGGTCAATATTCAGTCATTATATTGCAAACTTTTCACATGCTTCTAAAAACCACCCCAAGGTAACTGTAAATTCCATCAAACTGGTTATTTAGCACTTTGTATCTTAAGTCAAGATTGTGTGAGGTACATAAAAACATTTATATTTGTTTGATCTTCCTAAGAAAAGCTACTTTCAGATTTTTCCTTAAAATATTCTTATTTTCCCCATAAGATACCATCAATTCTTTCTTAAATGTTTCATTCACTTAGACTAGAAAGTGAAAGTCCATTCTCTCTGACTATTAAGATCATTGTAACTTGTTTGAATTAAGGTAGGATATTATTCAAAGGAAATTGTATTTAAATGTATACTACCATACTTTCTAAGTCTTAAATGACAACTGGAGGCAGCATCCAATCTCCGGTGTTTACCACAATAGGAAATCTTTAGTATCTAAATTGCAGAGTTAGAGTAAGCATTATGAGCGGTTTGGTAATTTCCAGTTTAGTATTAATATTAGTATATTTTAAACTTATGAGTTTATTATTAATTTTAAACCAAAATTTTAAAGTATTATGGAAAAATATCATTTACTAATTCTGCAGATATGTGCTGCATTTTATAAATACCACTGCAAACTAGTATCTTCAGGTAGTCTGTATAAAAGAAAACCTGAAAAATGAGAAACAACCCCTCTTGGGTAGCCAGCATAGCAGCAGTGGGTCAGTACAGAAAGGCTACATATGAAGACTTCATGCCTTGAAACATGGGGCCATCAGCTCCGGGAGAATTCCCCAAGGATCTACCACTTTAAACAATCACTAACTGACTTTAACCACTATCAGCCATCTTAACAATCACTAACTCACTGTAACCACTATCTACCATCTTAAACAATCACTGACTGTAACCACTATCTACATGCATATCTATATGCATATTAGGCAAACAGCAGGACGGGCTAATTCAGAACATGAAACAAGTTAATGTGTATGTATGTCAGCATTTTCAGATCCAAAACTGTCATGAGTTAATTAAATTCAACAAAAAAGGCACATCTGATAAGCAGAGCTTATTGGCTAGTCAGAGGAAATGAAAAATCCTGTTAAGTGTGCTCCCAACTTCCAGTGTTCTCAGCCATGCATTTCCACATAGCTGGATGCTCCAAAAGGCAAATAATGTTCAAGTAATAACACTTTGATTCATAAGGCTGGCAAGCTCAAAATCCCACTGGAAACTACTAGGACTGTTTCCAAGTAATAAAAGCTGGAAGACAGTGCATCTTTTACTACTCGTCCTTGTTGTTGTTCGGTTGTTGGTTTTGTTTGAGTTTGCGCAGGGCTCATTTGTTCTCTGTGTACATTGATTTTGTTTTTGCTTTAGCCTCTCTCTCTCTCTCTCTCTCTCTCTCTCTCTCTCTCTCTCTCCTGTGTGTGTGTCTGTATGTGTGTGTGCTGGGAACTGAACCCAGAATCTTGTACATGCTAGGCAAATACACTGAGCCTCGCCCCCAGCCTATGTACACCTTATCTTTTCAAATATTTCCTAATCAGCAATGGCTGCAAATGATAACAATTTGGAAGTGAAAAAACATCAGTTGAAAAATGAAAAGGGACATAAACCCAGAAGGACTGAGACAAGAAGAAAAGCAGAGGATGAGAGGTACCTGTAAAGGTTCAGGAGACTGATGAGGAGGGACCCTCCTAGGTCTGAGCTTTTTGGTGACACCAACAGGAAGCACACCAACACTTAATTCTTAAATTTGTCCCACCTTTGTGTCTGTTTAATCTTCTCACCAGCTTCTGTCATATTCGACTGACCAGTGCTTATGATCATTATACCCGGAGAAACACACAAAACTAGACATTCACAGGGACCAAGAACTGAGTCCCTTCACTTGCTAGAGGTCTAGATAAACTTTGAAAATAAATGTCATGCGCCTTAGCTAAGAAGTGTGCATATTAGGAGCGGTAGGTTGAGAATAAAGTAAAATGAAGGCACTACCCTCAAATGATTATTCTGTGTTTATTTTTTTAATTTACCTACTAACGAGATGTGCCAACCTATTTTAAATGTGAGTGGTCTGGTAGCAAAAGAGAAGAAAAACTCTACCAATAACTGAATACATATATACTTGGATTTGAAAATTGCAGAACAAGAAAACGAAAAAGTAATTTTCAAGAACCGGAGAATTTGAGAACCCCTAACACCAGTTTAATTATTTACCTTTATTAAATTCAGTATTCTTATAGTAGTTGGTTAATAAAGTATTAGAACAATTTGGCTGCAGCAACGCTATATAAATTTTTAATATTTCATATGCTATACTATTCAAACTGAAAATAGCTCTGTGAGAAGCCAGTGTCATCTGCTATCTTGATTTCATGGGGTGATTTTTAACTCCATGTTCATTTCATATTTTAGAATATTCTCAGAATTTGCCAGAAAGGGAAATATTTTGAATGATCAACAATAATAATAAGCTTAATTTTAAACTGAAAAGTTTAGTGACTTTAACTTTGTATCTAATATAAATGTTTTAGTATGGATAATTTTGCTTCCCTGTTATTCCTTAAACTGTTTATTATTTACCCAGTGGTAAGCAACTTTTAAGCCAGTTAGTAATTCAAAAGCTACAAAAAAAAACTCTAATATATACACAAGTAATAAAAGAGTCATGCTAATTTAGTAAGAGTAGAAATCCAAGCTTTAAATTATCCAACTTTCTTGTTAGAAACAGAACACACTAATAAGAAATTATCAATCCAAATATGGCAAGGTGAGAGGTAGGTAAACAGATGGAGAAAAATAGTCTGAGAAAATTCATTAAATGAAAATAAAGGGAGAGGGAAGGGGGGAAGGGAAAGAAACAGAGAGAAGGAAGGAAAGAGAAAAAGAAGTCAGAGGAAAAAGACACGGCTGAACTATCCCGGTGCAAACATGGTAGGGACTCTGAATAGTTGGCCATGGGGCTCACCCCTCTCTTATTCAGG